AATACAAAGAATGCATGATACACAGTCAGCCAGGAAACTGTTGTAGATGATGTTGCAATGTTAGCTCCTTGGCTAACCACAGCTGCACACAAACCACACCATGCCAGTTATCTAGACTTTTTTGGTTGCAGATCAGTGTGCAGCACAGTGCTGTGGCAAGTGTATTGTTTTGTGATATAATTACATTCATCTTTGTGTTTTTTACTGTTTATGGCAGACGAGTTAGCCAGCTTGCTAACTGCTATGTCAGCCCGCTGCCAGCAACCATGCCAGTTATCTACACTGTGCAGCATTATATTCTCGCAAATATATAATTATCTGATATAATTATATTCACTTTTGTGTCATATCTGTTTATGGTCAGTTAGCTAAATGGCTAGATGGCTAACTGCACCAACTTCTAACATCGCCAATCTTCCAGACCAGCTTTGGTCTCACCTATTTTGTCTAGTGTGAGTGCAGCTTTAGTGTTTCTAATAAAGAATTGGTTTCCAATAAAGTGGCCACTTAGTGTAGATCTGTACAATAAAATAAATCAGACGACATTTTTTTAATCACCATTTTATGTTATCATCCACATATGTCACAATATCGTCATAAATCCATTGCGGTGCAAACAATGCATGAACAAGCACTACACTGACATCACAACTGATCGTCGTCGACCAATAGCAAAAGAGGAAAAAGAAAAGTGGGTGTGGCCACCCAGACAGGCACTTCCTCATGCTCTTTCTCTTCGTGTGATACGTGAGAACGACAGATGAAACACGATGACAAAAAAGTCCCCTTCCTGTATCAAATAAGCGTCTAATGCTGCTACGTACTGTACGTACTACTTCCACGTCGATCTAAGAAATTATTTGCAAATGTCCTGAAAACTGCTGCCTTGATTTATAAAAAAAAGTGATAACTTGATAGCTGTTGTCACATTTACCTCCACTTAAGATAAACTGATCATATAAATGAAGAATTATCATAAAAATTTCAAAATCTGATAAAAAAACAAAATGTAAGAAAAAAGAAACTCAAAATCACGTAGCACACATTTAGTGAGTTTTATGTAGAGTAAAGGCCGTTGCTATGGCGAAACTCCAACCAGTGTTTTACAGTCGCAGTTGTATTGACAAAACAGTCAACCAATAAACAAAAGAAAAATCCGGTGGCAGAAAGCAGAGCACTGTTGCGACAGGGAGAAAAGTGTGAGAATGGAACGTTTCATTTTTTGCGGTAGTCTGCTGTGGGCAGGGAGCAGGCCGGCGTGAAGGACACTAAAATACAGCCACAGAACACTGGACGAAACGGACAACGGCGTCAAAAAGCTTAACATTTGTAATGTATGGGTCTGCAGATCCAAACACACACACATAGGCAACTGTTCAAAAGTTTGGAATCACTGTTTTCATTGCTGGCTTTGATAGATCTGTTACAGAAACATGGTTTAAATAGGTAAAAATAGTAAGCAGCGATCAGAATAATGAAACACACTGCAACTGATTTCATAATAATTCAGAAAACTCGAAAACTTTGAGAATGACATTATGATAAAATGAACATACACAGTGCCTTGTATTTGTAAGTGGTGACCAAATCTCAGAGAAGATAACTTGGCAGGTAATTAGTTTAACTTTTAACTTTTTTCTTCCAAAATATTTCATCAAACCAGCTAAAAATACCTTCAGACATCGACAGATAGTTTATAATATTTTAGATTATGTTGTATAAGTTATGGCAGCACAGTGGCGCAGTGGGTAGCGCTGTCACCTCACAGCAAGAAGGGCCTGGGTTCGATTCCCGGCGGGCGGCCAGGGTCGTTTCTGTGTGGAGTTTGCCTGTTCTCCCCGTGTCTGCGTGGGTTTCCTCCGGGTACTCCGGTTTCCTCCCACAGTCCAAAAACACGCAGTCACGCCAATTGGACATGCTGAATTGCCCCTAGGTGTGAATGTGTATGTCTGTCTGTCTGCCCTGCGATGGACTGGCGACCTGTCCAGGGTGTATCCTGCCTTCCGCCCAGTGACAGCTGGGATAGGCTCCAGCACCCCACCGAGACCCAGAAGGATAAGCGGTTTAGATGATGTATGTATGTATGTATGTATGTATAAGTTATCAAATAAAATCAATATTAAAGCAGCACTATGTAAGAATGTGGGATTTGGAGACCTCTCTGGTGGAAATATGTAATTGCAAGCAAAATGATTGTGATCGTATACACATTAAGAAAATATTCAAGGAAAATCCTGATGTTGTGTGTGAAAAATTTGCCCAAACCCAGCCTGAAAATCAATACTTTGACAGGCAATGAGTAGCAGACCTCTTTCTCGCTACTAGCTAAATGTTATGGAAATAAAAAGTTTGTAGAACACATCTAACATCTATGTGACTCTCACAGTTATCAAATGCTCAGTGTAAGAATTAACATTAGCTATCAGTGGCTGGTCAATCCAACAGCAGACAGTGTAATTAGTTAGCTAGCTAGCTAGTTAGCTAACATTAGCTGTCTAAGCAGTTTAGCTATAAGAAGGTACTGTAACTACAACACGTACTTTTACAACAGAAACAGGCCCAGTAAATTATGATGTTAGCAATAATTAACAATTAGCAATGTTTAGCTATGAACCTAGTCTTTCTACCTCACTTAACCTTACTGTAACTGCAACAAGTTGTCACTGAAACTAGAAACAGGCCAATTTTGTATGTCAATATTAGCGATAATAAAGAATTAGAAATATTCAGAGCCCAGCCTGTACCTTTAACGTCTGTAAATGTAGCAAGTTGTACTTTTAAACCTAAAACAGGCCCAGTGGGTTATGATTTTTATGTCAACGTTAGCAATCATTAGCACTTAGCTATGTTTTGCTATGAACCAAGCCTTCCTTCCTTACTCTGCCTTACTGTAACTGTAGTAAGTTGTCACTGAAACCTGAAACATGCCTAGCAGGTTATAACTTGTATGTCAATATTAGAAATAATTATCAATTAGCGAAGTTGAGCAATAAACCTAGCCTTTCTACCTCACTTTACCTTATTGTAACTGCGGTAAGTTGCCATTGAAACTTGAAACAGGCCTAGTAGGTTACAATTTGTATGTTCATGTTAGCGATAATTAAGAAGTAGCGATATTCAGATATGAGCCTAGCTTGTACCTTTACCTTCTGTTACTGTAGCAAGTTGTACTTTTAAACTTAATACGCAATAATTAGCAATTTGCTAAGTTTGGCAATGAACCTAGCTTTTCTACCTCACTTTACCTTATTGTAACTGCAGCAAATTGTCTCTGAAACTTGAAACATGCCTAGTAGGTTACAATTTGTATGCATGCTAATGTTAGCAATAATTAATAATTAGCGATATTTATATATGAACATAGCCTTTCTACCTTATGTTACTTTACTGTAACTGTAGCAAGTTGTCTTTGAAACTTGAAACAGGCCTAGTAGGTTTCAATTTGCATGTTAATGTTAGCAGTAATTTAAAAAACAAACCTAGCCTTCGTAGCTAAATCTACCATTGTTTTGCCGTAGGTTGATATGAGCTATTGGCATTTCTGAGAAGCCAGGTGTCCAGCTGGCTGGGCCTTGTTTGACGAGTAAAATTCTGACATCAGTTCACAGAGAGCTCTGATGAAAAACCCCCGCTGGCTCCAACCTGACAGCACTGACTTTTTACATGAATATTTTAAGCTTTTCAAGGTGACAGGCAGCCAGAATACAGCCAGTGTATGTTTTCACCAATTAAATAGGCCTGTGCCTGTAACGTAATCCTTTTATTCAGATAAAAGTATGAAAATAACTGCAGTAAACACAGACGTAGGGTGGTGATATTATTATTTTGGCTTGAAAAAGCCAACCAATTATGATTCGTTTTCGACTTATTATTATTCTACTGGCAAAAAACACAACACTACCCCCCCTCCAACAGCTCTCAAGCTAGAACCATGAAACTTCACAGGATTTTAGATTCTACACCCAAATTGGTTGCTTGTGCTGTTATAACTGACTTATTGTGTTTGTGCAGCGTTTGTTTAAACATTTTTTTCCATAGGAATGAATGGGGGGATGCTCAAAATCCTGACACTTCATTTTGAGTCATTTTACTTATATAATATATGGTTATGCTACCTTATTTCACCACAGCCAGTATACACTCTGTAGCCAAATGTTTTGGACACACCTCTTATGTCACCATCATACGAGTATGGTAGAAACCACCTTGGATAACATAGTAACAGCCTAGCAACACCTTAGCAACGAGTATGGTAGAAACCACCTTGGATAACATAGCAACAGCCTAGCAACACCTTAGCAAACACCAGGGACACTATAGCAATGGCCTAGTAACACCTTAGCGAACCATCTTGGACAATATAGCAACGCCTTAGCAACCACCTGGGTTATCACAGCAATGCCTAGCAACACTGTAGCAACCACCTGGGATACCATAACAGTGGTCTAACAACACCTTAGCAACCACCTGGAAAACCATAGTAAAGACCCCTCCATGCATGTGGTATTTAATGCTGGGTATCACATTGCTCTGCATATAACGTTACTAAAACAAGTTATATTATCTTCATGTGTGAGAATCAGCATCTTTCTAATGGTTTGAATTAAATAAATGAACAAAAACAGTTTTTTAAAATGATTTTTTCCATCACTGAAGGCTGTTACCATGGTAACATGGTTAACCATCACTGGCACAGGCCTACAGTTTAGAGCAGCTTTAATATGACAAATGATTCCAAACTTTTGAACGGTAGTGCACAAGCAAACACGTATTACCGGACCACCAGCCAGCTTCCCTCCCTGCAGAAACGCACACACACAGATCCCTGCCCTGCACAAACACACTTACACAGCGGCGAGCATGAATATGAATGTAGTTCCACAGTGGACGTTCTTCACAAAGACATTTAGCCGCATCACAGCTGCCCTCTACCGTCCCTTCACTTCTGAATGCCACCCCTCCGATCAGTACCCAACCCCCAACCCCCATACAGCCACCCCTCACTTCTGGGCCCCTGTTCCACCAGAGCAGGGGTCCACAGGCTCCTTTACAGCCCCCCCAAACACATCCACGTCCTGCTCCGTCCAGGGCACTATGTTCCCCTTCTGTGGGGGCTCCCTGCAGGACGCCAGTGCGGCCAATTCCGGCGCCGGCAGCACCCGGTCCCACAGGTTAAACAGTGACAGCTCGCCCACCAGAGCCTGAGAGGCGTCGAAGCGGCCCCCCAGTGTGTCCTACAGCACAGCAGAGAGAGAGAGAGAGAGATACAGTTTACATACAGTTGCACTGCCTAAGATTTTTCCTGCACTCTTGGACGTAAAAGTGCCAAAAATGGTTCTCCAAAGCAGTGCCTTAGATCATTGGATGATTTTTTGAAGAACCATTCTTGTGTGTGTGTAAAGAACCTCACATCGTGTAAAGCTTCGATTGCAATTCATTTCTTAAAACGTATGTCCAAGCCAAGAACCACTAAGAAATCTTCATTATTAGGAGTGTAGAACCATATGTCTAAGCCAAGAACCATTGAGAAATCTTTATTTTTAGGATTGTAGAACCATACGTCTAAGCTAAGAACCACTGAGAAATCTTTATTTTTAGGAGTGTAGAACCATATGTCTAAGCCAAGAACCATTGAGGATCCTTTATTCTTAAGAATTAAGAACTCAAATCAACTATTGTTGAACCTATTTAAAGAGAGAACAGAACCATATGTCTAAGCCAAGAACCATTGAAGAACCTTCATTTTTTAGAGTGTAGAGCCATATGTCCAAGCCAAGAACTGCTGAGGAACCCTTAATTTTTCGAGAGTAGAACCATATGTCTAAGCCAAGAACTATAGAGCAACCTTATTTTTTAAAAGAGTAGAACCCCAAGATTAAGCCAATAACCACTGAGGAACCATTACTGTTAAGAGAGTAGAACCGCAAGTTCAAGTCAAGAACCACTGAGGAACCTATATTTTTCAGAGACTGGAACTATATGTCCAAGCTAAGAACCATTGAGGAAGCTAAGAAAATAGAACCACAAGTCCAAGTTAAGAGGAGCATTTTAGAACCATATGTCCAAGCTAAGAACCACTGAGGAACCTTTATCTGAAAAGATGTATAGCTGTTGAAAAGATGTTACTGATAAAAGGAAATAGATAAAAGAGAAGAAATCAAACAAAGAAGCTGCTGGTGTTCTCAGAACAACAGACTGACCAGCCCAGACATAGTAGTTGTGGTAGACAAGGGCCATCAGAGCGCACCATCAAATAAACCCAGGTAAAATGGTCCTGTCCCTTCCAAAGCCCCACCCACCACCTTGTCAACTCACCTGCTCTTGTCCCAGGACCATAACGCCCCCGGCTCTGAGTGGATGCCACGCTGAAAGCCCCTCACCCCGCCCCTTCAGTTTGCCCCCCTGGTAGGCCTTCCATACTCCATCGCGCAGAGTCCAGCTCACACACACGTGCTGCCAGATGCCCTGTGGGAAGGACAAGGGCAACTGCGCCACCTACAGGGCAGATTACATCGGAGACAGACTTAGGATAATTCAGTATTATAGGAAAAATTAAAAATGCTAATGCTATATGAACTGTGGATTCTACTAATCTTTGGGTGAGATCTGGCAAATTTACAGAAACAAAGTGTATGTTAAAATAAATAGTTTTAGCTTAGATGTTCCCATTTGTATAATGCTAACTGCTCGCCATTTATCTTGTAGTGTTAGCCTGATTAGCATTTTTGGTGGACTGCCCCTTTAACAACTTAACCTCTAAGGATCCAACAGCAGGTCCATACTTCCACTTCTCACTTTTGTAACTAGATAACCTACATATTCATTTTATAGTAGTTAGAGAAGAATGCATAAAAGATACCGTACATCATAAGCCAGGAGTTACTGATACACTAGAAGGCCACAAGAATGTGGACAGCCCTCCTAATTATTGAGTTCAGATGTTTCAGCCACCCTCATTGCTCACAGGAGTATAAAATCCTTTTTCCACAAGTCAGTTCATTATATTTCTGCCCTGCTAGATCTGCCCTAGACAACTGTAAGTGCTATTATTGTGCAATGGAAGTGTCTAGGGGCAACAATGGCTCAGCCACAAAGCTCTTGTGGCAAGATTGTGGGGAAAGCCCTTTCCTTTTCCAGCATGACTGTGCCTTTGTACACAAAGCATGGGCCGTAAAAACATGGTTTGAAGAGTTTAGTATGGTGAAACTCAGTGGCCGGCAAAGAGTCATGACCTCAACCCCACTGGGATGAATTGGAATGTCAATTACAAGCCAGGCCTTCTTGTCCAACATCAGTGCCTGTCCTTTTGACTGAAGGGAAACAAATCCCCACACTCCCAGAAGAGTGGACGCTACTATAGCTGCAAAGGGGGGTGGGGGGGGATTAACACCATATTAATGCCCATGGTTTTGGAATGAGATGTCCAACAAGCTCATATAGGTGTGATGGTCAGGTGTCCACATATTTTTGGCCATTTAGTGTACATGACAGAACTAAAAACTAACTAAGTAGTACCAGCCATCTTGAAGACTGAATTATAGGCCTACATAAGCTTTAATTACTTGTTAGCTACATTAGCTTCGTATCTCCAGATCAGACACCAAACATATCTTGGCTGATTTGCTACATTCTGGGCAAAAATAACTTTAGTTAACTTGAATTTTGGCCAAACTATGACTTTGAAGGGTAAATCATTGTCTCTGCAGTTTATATTTTCCTCGCTTAAAGTGAAGCAGGTCTGTATCTCGCCTTGTCATTAACCAGCAGCTCAGCTGGGCTGTGGACCCCCTGCAGAAGGACGAGCTCGTTGGGCTGTTCGGCCACGGCGTAGGAGAAAGGTGTTCCGATCCCACTCTCTGCTGCCTTCAGCCACATGCAGGCAGTGAAGGCGTACATCTCTGGAATATTCCGCCTCACCAGCCCGTACATGTAGTTGGTGCGCACAGGGAAAGAAAGCTTGAAGCCCTGCGGGAAAGAGGGTCCTGTGAGACCTACCAGAAGAGAGAAAGAGAGAGAGAGCGAAAGCGTATAAAGGAAAACAGCAGATAAACATGAGTGACGTTACTGTAACTGGCCTAGAATTGCTGTCTTGAGTTAAAGAGCCCATATCATAGAAAACTACATTTTCTGTGTGTTCTTTAAACAAAAGTGTTTAATTAACTATGCAAACATTGCTAAAGTTTCAAAACGGTCCATATTATCCATATATACACATTTGCTACAGACTGTCTGCATTAACAACACTCCTTATAACTTCATTATGGCTGGGTGGAGATAAATTGCTGCCGGCTGAATGAATGGTCTAGATGTCTACAGTTTCCATGGTTGTGACATCACAGCTGTGGTCAGTTTAAAATGAGCCTGTTTTTGCAGCTTAGTCTCATGTCCCTCCCCCCTCCCTCCCATGGTGTACCCCTATTTCCCCTTCCCCATGAGTCAGCCCCCCAGTGTTTAGCCCTGCAGCCCTCTGCTCACTCTGCTCCAGCTCGGCGACGCGCTCCTGCAGGGTGTTGATGCCTTGGTCGATATGCTGGTGGTGGTTTTGCGTTTCTTTGCGCAAGTTCTTCCTCTCCTCCTCCAGCAGCTTCACCTTCCTCTCCAGATCACCACCCACGTCCTCCACACGCCCACCAGCCTGCCCCGGAGCCCCCACCACCGCCTCCGAGTGATTCAGCACCACAGGAACCATCTCCAACTGAGAGAAAGAGATAGAGAGATGCTAGTAAGTTTATTAACCCTTTAGTGTCAAGGCAAAAATGAGCAGTTCTGCTGATTAATCTATTCTTCTATGTTGATGATATGATTTCGTAATGCTCCAGCATTTATTTTCACATATGACATAAGAGAGTCAAACCGTTTTGAGCCAGCAAACATTTGAATAGAAATATACAAACTAGGAAGAAACAACCTTTTCATTTATTTAGTTTCCAGCCATTAAGTATAAGCTATTCATTTTATAGATTCAACAGAAATTTACAACTAAGTTTGCCTTTGTTACTGATCTTAACTAAATTTTGTGTTTATTACAGCTTCCATTCTTTTGGGGAGACTTGCTTTCAGTTTTTCAAAGAAAGAGAGGGACTGAACTGCAGGGGAATTTTTCCACATCTCCAAAGTTGTATTTGTGGTTGTATTTTCTGCCTCTTGCAATCCAAATAATCCCAATTAGACTCCTCAGTCCATAAAGCCGTACTTCACATCTCAGACGTCCAGATTAAGCGTTCTAGTGTTCTCAGTAAGGGCTTGTTAACAGCTACACATCCTTTCAGACCTATAGTGTTGAGCTGTCTTCTCACAGTGGAAGGATGGACAGAAACACCTGTGGTTTGTACTGTTTGTATAATGGGGACAGTTTTGGTGGTCTACACGGTTGTAAGGAGAAAGGGAGGACATAGGGGTGGGACCACTGGGCCACTGGGCCCAGACGAAATCTGATTTGCCCCTTAGGTGGCCCCCTGAAGTCTCTCGCCACCTCCAAGCATGTCATTGATTGATATACAAATTTTTAGTGAAATTCATGGTTTTGAGTGATGAATATGCCACTCGTGTGAATAGTGCAGACTGAACAAGTTTCAGTTAATGGAAATTTGCTGCTTTAATGGTACTGACAAATGGAACCTTATTGTAACAGAACTTTCTTGAGCAGTTGGACTCATTTTCACATACATGATATCTTTCTTCAATAGCTTTAGAACAGTAGCTGCAGAAAGGTTACAATGTGTGAATTATCATTGTTTGCAATCAAGAAAATAAAGCAGTGTTTTTGTTTGAAAATTATTTAGAAAATGTAGATTTCTGTGGACTGTAACCACTATAAGAGCCACGTGATCTGCAAGTCATATCTCAAGTGGCGATCATAGGGGTCCAAGCACCTCACGCCTTATGGTGGGTTGCCCAATCTTGGTCCTAGAAAGTTACCACCCTGAAGAGTTCTGATCCAACATTTCGCCATGTCTGCTGCTGAATGTAAATCATACTAAACATATGTGTATAGTGTCAGTAATGTATATAAGAGTTATCATACGATAACTTTGGAGTTCTTTGAAATTAAAGGCATTTATTTACCCAACAGGAATTGTGGCCCCATTATCGCCCCACCTAATAATCCATGAACTGTGACTGGTTATGTTTTTTTAAACTCAGGTTTTGGAAAATCCTGTTTTTTCACTTATTCTCCTTTGACTGTCATCAAATATCTCTTGAAATATTAATAACTTACTTAATGGCTGTTTTGACTGGAAACACACTGATTCATTTTACTATGAACAATGTGGACACTGACACAAGCGACTGTGTGGGGGGGCAGATTTTAATGAATTAAGGGGGGCAAAGACAAAGGCTCTAAAAGAGACATTGCGTAATCATCTTTTGCATTAGGCCTCATGGACACAGACTCCATAATTAGAGCAATTCTTTGTGCTCAAAAACACACAAAAGTAACACAAAACATGACAAACTCTTTTACAATCCCATAAGTTCTAGGTATTAACCAGTGAAGAGTGAGGTGCTACCCCAAAGTACTAGATAATTATTTTGAATAACTTGACGAGTTCCAAGACAGTCCAAAATGTTCTAGGTACTAACTGCATAAGTGTTGCATACAGTCTCCAAAAAGTGAATGTGGTGTACCATTAAAAGTTTTTAAAGTGCACAATTTGATATTAAGAACTTTGTTGTACTGTGATGAACAAAAATGTACCTGTACACACTTGAAAAAATGGTTCTTCAAGGGTTCTTTAGCAAGGAAAATTGTTCTATATAGAACTATGAGCACTTCAAGAACCCATTGCATAATTAAAGGGTTCTTTGTATCATAAAAGGGTTTTTCAGGTTGATGGAGAATGTGTTGTGCTTGATGGTTCTTTTGAAAAGGGTTCAATATAGCAATTAAAAGGGTTGTTCTACTGTGACAAACTTGACATCATAACAATAGAAGAGCCCTTTTTAGTGTTATATAGAAAAGGTTCTATATAGCATCATCTACAGCACAATCTCCATCAGACTGAGGAACGTTTTCTCCATGCAAAGAAACATTTAATCTTGCAAAAGGTGCTTGGAGTGTTCATGGTTCTATATAGCACCATTTTCTGTACTAAAGAACCCTTGAAGATCTCTCTTTCTAAGAGTGTACAGTACACTTTCTTTCTGGACATGTAGTGAGTACGATGCATTGCACCAGTGAGTCCTTTGCTATGCTACATTTGTCATTAAAGTTGAACTGAATTCGAATTGAACTGATGGAGAGGTTCAATAACCAAACTGTAATTATAATAATATTATTATAACATATTATTATAACATATTATAACATATATCATACAATATACAATACAATATATTTAAAAGCCCTTGATATCAGCTTACTCTGTCACTTTCAATTCAAATGGCAGAGCAATCATTAACAAGTTTTTTTGTATAACAATAATAATTTAAATGTCCTATAATGTATTTAGTGAGAGAAAGTTGTGCAGATGATGTGCTGGTATAATGACAGTAAAGCTGAGTTTAACTGAATTGAATTGAATTGAATTGAATTGAATTGAATTGAAAAGCACAGTGGCGCTGCCGCCTCACAGCAAGAATGGCCTGGGTTTGATTCCCTGGCCGGGCAGCCGGGGTCCTTTCTGTGTGGAGTTTGCATGTTCTCCCCACGTCTGCATGGGTTTCCACGCACAGTCCAAAGACATGCAGTCAGGCAAGTTGGAGATTCCAACTTCCACCCAATGACTGCTGGGATATATGCAACCCAGGAGGATAAGTGGCTTAGAAAATGTGTGTGTGAATTGAATGTAATTGATGCAGAGTTAAAGAGTCATGCAGATGTTGTGCTGTATAATATCAATAAAGCTGAATTGAATCGATTTGAAATGAACTGAGAGAGAGTGAGGTGGAGGATTATGTACAACCCCATTTCCAAAAACGTTGGGACGCTGTGCAAAATGTAAATAAAAACAAAATGCAATGATGTACAAATCATTTAAACCTTATATTTAATTGAAAATGTTTCAAAGACAACATATCAAATGTTGTAACTGAGAAATTTTATTAGTTAGGATGGGGGATACAAAAGGCTGGTAAAGTGGTTGACTGGCAACAGACAATAACATGATTGATTTTAAAATGAGCATCTCAGAGAAGCTGAATCTTTCAGAAGTAAAGATGGGGAGAGGTTCACCACTCTGTGAAAGACTGCATGATCAAATAGTGCAACAATTCGAGAAAAACACTTCTCAACATAAAGCAAAGAATTTTTGATTTTCATCATCTACGGTACATAATATCATTAAAACATTCAGAGAATCTGAAGAAATTTCTGTATGCAAGGGACAAAGCCAAAAAACAGTACTTGCTGGCCGTGATCTTTGGGCCCTCAGGTGGCACTGCCTTAAAAACAGGTGTGATTCTGTAGTGGTAATCATTGCATGGGCTCAGAAACACTTCTGAAAACCACTGTCTGTGAAAACAGTTCGGCGCTACATCCATAAATGCTATTTAAAACTCTTAAATGCAAAGAAGAAACTGTATATAAACAGGATCCAGAAATGCTCCCTCCTTCTCTGGGCCCGAGCTCATTTAAAATTGACTGAGGGGAAGTGGAAAAGTGTCCTGTGGTCCGACGAATCAACATTTGAAATTCTTTTTGGAAATCATGGACACTGTGTCCTCCGGTCTAAAGACCACTCAGCTTGTTATCAGTGCACAGTTCAAAAGCCAGTATTCATGATGGTATAAGGGGGCATTAGTGCACATGTCATGGGTGATGAGCTCGTCTGTGAAGGCACCATTAATGCTGAACGATATATACATGTTTTCGCAACATATGCTGCCATCCAGACAACGTCTTTTTCAGGGAAGGCCTTGATTATTTCAGCAAGACAATGTCAAACCACGTTCTGCACATATTACAACAGCATTGCTCTGTATTAAAAGAGTCTGGGTGCTAAACTGGCCTGCCTGCAATCCAGACCTGTCACCCACTGATAACATTTGGCACATTATAAAATGAAAAATAAGACAAAGGAGACCCCAAACTGTTGAGCAGCTGAAATCCTATATCAAACAAGAATAGAAAAACATTTCACTTTCAAAACTACAGCTGTGTCTCCTCAGTTCCCAAACACTTACAGAGTGTTGTTAAAAGAACATGCCCCTGTTGTTGGCACCAAATTCAAAATGGGCACATATTTTTCAAAAAACATTAAAATTTCTCAGTTTCAACATTTGATATGTTGTCTTTGTAGTATTTTCAATGGAATATCACATTTAAATGATTTGCACATCATTGAATTTTGTTTTATTTACATTTTGCACAGCATCCCAACTTTTTTGGAAATGGGGTTGTAGTTGCTGTACTGGTATGTCAATAAAACTGTATTGAATTGAACTGAACTAAATTGAGTTGAATGGAGAGAGAACTGGAGAATTATTCAGATATAATGATATATGTACAATAAGGTTCAACCGAATTCAATTTATAGACTTGAATAAAGAGAATTATACAGATGCTGTACTGATATAATGACAAAGATGAATAGAACTGGGTTAAAATCAACTTGAGCTGAGAGAGAGTTAGAAGGTTATGCAGATGCTGTACTGGTGTAATGACAGCAACGTTAAACTGAACTGAATTAAGTTGATTTATGTAGATTAAGCGTTTAAGAGCGAGAAAAAAAGAGTTACATCATATAATTAATGATCATAATACAGCGTCACTGAAAAGCCTTACCACCAGTCTGCCCATCCATATCCATATCCAGTTCAAATGCAGCATCCATCATTTACATTTGTATCAGTGTAATGATCTAGAATAGCACTCCAATGTTCTCCTATAACTGTGTCCATTAAGATACAACATCTGGAACATTTCATATCAGTATATGTTGGCCTGAGCACTCCTCATACATGTGTGAAGAACCTTTTTAAAGTTTAAAGAACCTCCACTTAAAGGTTCCATATCAATTGTAGCTTTTTTTAGAACTATATATCTGAGCCATTGAGCCATTGAAGAACCTTTATTTACAAGTGCGAACACTCATCCTCAGCAAGTACCCTGTGGCATCTAACCCAGGGCTGTTTCTCTCACTCACTCATATTTTATGCATGTGTTTTCCCCCCAGCAAGAGCTTTATGGAACACAGGGAGCCAAGAGAGTGAGAGAGAGAGAGAGAGAGAGAGAGAGGGAGAGATAGAGGGAGAGAGAGAGAGAGAGAGAGGAAAATGTTGTTTCCCTTTTTCAAATCTATACAGCTTTCCAGGAACAGTTCAGTCAGAAAATGCTAATCTTGCTACCAGTCAATTAAAACGAACCACCACCAATTAGCATTATGCAAATGACATCATGTGAATGACCTCTAAAGCTTCCAGTCACTGTTGGTCGAGCCTTTCCTCGAAATGAAATGCACAGTCCCAGAATGATATTGGACACGTACCAGTAATCACTGTTTGAGCACTGGACAGATGAGGTACCACAGGCTTTATGCATACACTACACTCATAAAAATAGGTTCCCTATGGTTCCTTAAAGCACCTTTAAATGGATGAATCTTTAAACAGTCTTGTAAATGAGATATGTGAGGTTGAAGAACCCTTATGAAGTTGAAAGGACCTCCAGATAGGGTAAATGTTCTTTACCAATTAAAGGTTTTTCCTGCACTCTTGGAAGTAAAACTGCCAAAAATCGTTCTCTAAAGCAGTGCCTGGAATGACTGGATGTTTTGTTGAAGAACCATTTTTGCTAATAAGATGTGTGTGTGAAAAACCTTGCATCGTGTAAATCTTCTATAGCAATTCATTTCCTTGTACATCCAAGCCTAGAACCATTGAAGAACCTTTTTTCAAGTAAGTAGAACCATGTCCAAGCCAAAAACCACTGAGGAACCTTTACTTTTAAGAGTGTGGAACCGTATGTCCAAGCCAAGAACCACTGAGAAACATTATTTTTTGATACAGTAGAACCATATATCCAAGCCAAGAACCACTGAGGAACCTTTATTTTTAAGACAGTAGAACCATATGTCCAAGCCAAGAACCACTGGGGAACCTTTATTTTTAAAATAGTAGAACCCTATATCCAAGCCAAAAACCACTGAGGAACCTGTATGTTTAAGAGAGTAGAACCATATGTCTAAGTCAAGAACCACTGAGGAACCTTTATTTTTAAGACAGTAGAACCATATGTCTAAGCCAAAAACCACTGAGGAACCTTTTTTTTAAGACAGTCGAACCACATATCCATACCTAGAACCGTTGAGGAACCTATAGTTTTAAAAGGGGACCCGTTTACCCGCTCACCTCTAACTTCTCTATGCGGTCCTTCAGCTGAAGAATGGCTTTCTCCAGCTCCTCCACGGCCCGGGCCGTCTGCAGCTGCGCCGCCGAGGTGCTCACGTCGTCCCCGGCCATGAGTCGGCGCCGGCCGCCTGCCCACGCTCCGACGCTGCGCTCGGGTAGGCTCCTCTCCTCCAGGCCGCTCTCGCACTCGGACAGCTTCCCTGTGAGCTCCTGGATGGTCCTCTGGTCCATGAGGATCTGGTCGTTCTGTCTCAGGACGGTCTGCCGGAGCTCCTCGGCTGCGGCGCTGAGCTGGCTCCAGTCCTCGTCGTCGTCGTCCGCGTACGGCTCGTCGGCTTGCACCTTCAGACTCCGGGTCTTGCACTCTCCCGGGGGCACGGGCGTGCAGATGAGTCGGCTGAAGAAGAACTGTTTGGGGCCGGAGCCGGTGAGCTCGTTGTGGAAAGGCACCTCCAGGCCCAGGCCAAGTCCACCACCGCCAAAAGAATCGGGACCGTGGAGAGCGCCCAGAGAGTCCGGCCCGTGGAGAGGGCTAGGGGATTCAGGACCGTGGAGAGCTCCGGGAGATTCAGCACCATGGAGAGCGCCCAGCGGTCCGGCCTGCGCCACTGCGCCCGAGGACAGCAGTGCGTCCGCGGACACCGAGTGGTTGTCGGCCAGGGCCTGGGGTGCGGCGGCGCGCGAGCGCGGATAAACGCTCGCGATGATGCAGATCACCGCGCCGAGGAAGGCCAGCATGCCGGCGGCCACCAGGATCACGACGAATTTCATCTTCGAGATCCGAGTTTAGACGCGAAAACGGGACAGAAAGCGCCCGATTAATCTCGAACCGGACTAATCTGATACCCAGCGAGCCTTTTAAAGCATCAGGCCGGGTCTCCGTTACAGGATCGCCCGTGTCCGTTATTTATTTATTTATTTGTTTTCTTTTTTTTCATCTGCAGACGTGATGAGGCTGTCCTCCTCCTCTCTATGTGTTGCTAAGCTCCTCGTGCGCTGGTTACTATGGTCACTGACAGAGTGGATGGATGGATAGAAAGGGAGAGCGAGAGATGCTGACGTAGGCGGAGTGGTATTTCCCACCCGTATTCCGTTAAGCCCCGCCTACTGCGCTGGGATTGGCGAATAGTTCACACACCCCAGAGCCGTATAGAGATCTCTCTCTCTCTCTCTCTCTCTCTCTCCCTATCTCTCTCTCTCTCTCTCTCTCTCTCTCCCTATATATATATATATATATATAGAGAGAGAGAGAGAGAGAGAGATCTCTATACGGCTCTGACACACCCAAGCCGTTCATGAATCCTCTGCCTGTGAGACAAGCCCCGCCTACTGCACTAGGACTGGTTCACAAGTAGTTCTTGAACGCTTTGTATTTGTGACAAGCCCCGCCTCCTGCGCTAGTAGTGGCAAAGCGAAGCGACGGAGTACGAACAACCAGCCAATCCTAGCGCAGAGAATTAAACAACACCAGCCAATCGTAGCGCAGGAGGCGGGGCTTGTCCTGAATACAGGTGGTGACGAAGTCAGGCTAAAAGGCGGGACGCGCCCCCTAGCGGCGAGACCCAGAAACTCCTTTCAGCAGGTGGACGAGAGGGAGAAACAGGGGGGCTTGTATATTTTATCATTCACAGTGACTTCTGAGTATTGCGGAAGCATGAAATGATTCGTGGAAATATCTCAAAGACTTACACTACACAGCAGAAACGTACATTTGCAGATTATAGTGACGAGAAGTTAAAGGGGGATTTCACCGGTTTTTCAAATTTGGCCTAATTCCGTCGTTGCGACGTACACAAAGTCATTCAGAGGGGTTTGATGCAAAATGGTTAGTTGTAGAGAACGTTACAGGCTCAGAGTTCTTCACAGTGGTGGTGATAGGAACCAGGAGTCGCCGTGACTACATATACAGCCATTTTATTTACTGTCCAAAACCACTAGTGAACGTGTCTTAAATGTTTTTAGATGTAATGTTGATGATGGTAAAATGGTGGAAAACCTGAAAAAAAAAAGTTTTTTCTGGGGACTATTTTGCCTTACAACACTTGCATGTACCCCTCCACCATGACTGGATTAAAATAGGTTAACAAGACATTTTGGGGCAAAACTTAATCACCAAACTACCGTAAAAGAATGTCTCAGACATCAGACAGTGAGTTCATAACCATTTCGGGTAAAGACTGTCTGTGAGGGAGCTTTTAGAGGTGGACGTCTGGCTCCTATCACCACCACTGTTAACAATTTAGACTCAGCAAGTTTCTCTAGAACAGAGAATTTCATATCAAACTACTCTGAAAGACTTTTGATAATTTGTTTACACCTTAAATGTAGAAATTTTGAAAAATTGGTGGAGTCCCCCTATAGTCTAGCTAGCATCAGTAACCACTCGAGGTGCCATTATGCTAATGTACAAATCATCTTTTGGTTCCATTTGTAAAGCTAACTGCATCATATTCTCCTCGTACATCTTGTGAAAAGTGCTTAAAGTTTAAAATATTTTATAAATGTAAACAAATCAATCTTAGCTGGTCAGCTACATTGATTAGCAATGGTTAGCATTAGTGCTAAGAAACCTGGCCACTCAGGAAATTGAGTGCGAAATTTCTGAGGAGAAAAATTTCTAAATTCACTCTGAACAGTTTTGGTCACTCAGCAGCAACACTTTGTAGCATCAGCTATTTAAATATCATAACTGTAATTTAATATTCTCATTATTACTGTGGAATATTTAGCATGGGGAATTAATACTACCACGTAGGTGGGTCATTGTCCATTTGGAGTGGGAAACCATGTCACAAACGTTGCAGGGCTTAAAAAAATGCTTCAAATATTAGGCACAGCTCCAAAAGCCGGTAAGTACATTTACACAGTTGACCTAAGATTAAATAATACTTTTCCCTTATGATTTCTCTGATTTTTCTCTTTTTGTCCTGTTTCATAGTCACTGTACATACGTAAAACAGCTTGTCACATATTTTGTTTTCAATGTATGAGAAAATATAATACAATATTTTTAAAAGGTTTAACTTAAGGTAACTGTATGCAAAATGTAAATAAAAATTAGATGCAATGATATGCAAATCATATAAACCGTATTTTTAAAGGAAAATACTACAAAGACAACATATCAAATGTTGAAACTGAGAAATTTGTTTTTTTTTAAAATATATGCCAATTTTGAATTTAATGCCAACAACATGTTTCAAAAAAGTTGGGACGGGGGCCTGTTTACTACTGTGTTTCATCACCTCTTCTTTTAACAACACTCTGTAAGTGTTTGGGAACTGAGGAGACACTGCTGTAGTCTTGAAAGTGAAATGTTTTCCCATTCTTGTTTGATATAGGATTTCAGCTGCTCAACAGTTCGGGGTCTATTTTGTTTTATTTTTCATTTCATAATGTGCCAAATGAAGAGAATGAAAAAGAATTTCAAATGTTGATTCTTCGGACAACAGGACACTTTTCCACTTCCCCTCAGTCCATTTTAAATGAGCTCAGGCCCAGAGAAGGTGGCAGCATTTCTGGATCCTGTTTGTATATGCTTTCTTCTTTGTATTTTAGAGTTTTAACTTGCATTTGTGGATGCAGCGATGAACTTGTTTTCACAGACAGTGGTTTTTAGAAGTGTTCCTGAGCCCATGCAGTGATTTCCACTACAGAATCATGTCTGTTTTTACTGCAGTGCTGCCTGAGGGCCCAAAGATCATGGCCAGCAAATACTGGTTTTTGGTCTTGTCCCTTGCATACAGAGATTTCTCCAGATTCTCTGAATCTTTTAATGTTATTATGTATTGTAGATGATGAAAAGCAAAGGTCCTTTGCAATTTTATGTTGAGAAACGTTATTCTTGAATTGTTGCCCTATTTGATGGTGCAGTCTTTCACAGAGTGGTGAACCCCTTTACATCTTTACTTCTGAGAGACTCAGCCTCTCTGAGATGACCTTTTATACCCAATCATGTTACTGACCTGTTGCCAGTCAACCATCAGGTGTTTCTTTTAGCATTACACAACCTTACCAGCCTTTTGTTGCTCCCATCCCGAATTTTTGGGAATGCGTTGTTGGCATCAAATTCAAAATGGGCATATATTTTTTAAAAAACAATACAGTTTCTCAGTTTCAACATTTGATATGTTGTCTTTGTACTATTTTTCAATAAAATACAGGGTTTAAATGATTTGCATTTTATTTTAATTTTCATTTTGCACAGCGTCCCAACTTTTTTGGAAATGGGGTTGTACTTTGTTAACATTATACTTCCTTAAACAAATATATAGTTTATTTAAAAAAAAAAAGAATTACAGAGATGTCACTGGTGCTATCAGGACTCATATTAGATTTTAACACAGTATTTTCAGCTCTATTAATCTGCTTCTTTGGGTCAAGACCCATCAGAGAGGAAGCATCTCAAGGCCTGAGAAGGCGAGTCTATATTTGCTCATTATATTTCATGAATTTATGAATAATTTTGTTTATCAGGCTGCACGTGACTTCAATATGTCACTGGTGTTATGTGCTTTTATGACTGGGTAATTGAAATTGTCAAAATAATGCCAAATATCATTTATATCACTGAATTTAAACAGTTGTTCAAGGTCACCTGGCTGATAATAGACCAGCCAATTTACAAAATCCTCAGTTTTAACCAGAATGTCACTGGTGTTACACCATATTCATATAATACCAGTGGCATGTTGTGACACCAGTGACTAATGTTAATGTTGTGAATGATCAGAACACAAAAAACTAGTAAATATGGAAATATTATCTTCATCAATATTTCAGTCTGTTAGTTATTTTGTCATTTTGCTGTGTTGGCTAGGTATGACCAATCAGAGTGCAGGAGAGAGGCAGAGGCTGTATAGGCAGCATATAGATTCAGGCAGGGCTGTTTACTTGACAAAAAACAAGAGACCTGAGACTGAGCAGTTTAAAAACAAGTAAGGTTGTATTCTGAAACATGTCCTCTGCTGCCTGCTAAATACATAAAACACTGTTTTACTGGGAAACATATAATATGCAGTGTCCAGTATGCGACACATTTGGACTTAGGCACACAAAATGTAAGAGATTTAAAAAAATTAACATGTTTATAATCACCAAAATAACAAGACACAAAGCAAGCACTGAACATTTTGTTTACTGTATTTACAGTTGCATAAGAAAGTTACTGAACTCTGGTGAACAGCACCTGAAACATTAAATCATCACATTAAACTGTCACTGGTGTTACAGATTTGTTGATAAGGTGTTCTTTTGTCTGTATTAAGAGTATCTTATTTGAAATGTTAGAATAATTTCTGCACTGTTTTTTTATCTCAGTAGTTCAATTTCAGCGTTTATTGTACAACAATTTAATCTTTTTTTTTATAAAACAGTAAATCTGTGTTTTGGTACTTTTAGTGCACGTGTAGAAAAGCAAATTGCACTTCTTTAAAAAATATAGGTACATTAAATTTAAATGGAAAAATAAATATTTATGACGAAAAGAATGCCTCGTTAAGGGGTAACGCCAGTGACAAAGTGACTAAAACTGTGACTATTAAAAGTGACTATTAAAATGTTTGGAATTAAGCTCTCCATTTTGCATATTTGAAATGTTAATGGACATAATAGGGTTGATAGTTTTGAGAGGAAAGAAAGAGATGTTTTAAAAATGTATCCACCTGAATTCTCACTCCAAATGGAGAATGACCCAGGTGTATAAACTGCTGCTAGGCACAATCTCAGAGTGGCTCCACTACATTAAGCTTAAACTTGGGTTAAAACAAGATTTTTCTACTAATTCAGCTGTAACACACTTTAAACCTAGTTTAAAAGTAATCAGGGTTACATTTAAAGGGCCCATATTCAATTTTTTGTTTTTGTATTTTTTGTATTGTTTCTCCTGAGGTTCACTTATAGCATTTGTGTGGGTTTAAGTACCAAAAACAGTCATAATTCATTTTACATGACTATTTTTTCAACCTCTCTTTACCCCTTAAAATTGTACACACTGTTTTAGTTACTGCATCTTTAAGACATACATGTAAATGATCTCTGTTCTGATTGGCTGCTCTATACTGTGCCTCATTGAAGCATCGCTTTTTTTATGATTCACAATATGCATCACAATATTTTATTTTTGCGGGGTTTGATCAGTTGGAACGAACAAGAACCATTAGCAACACATTTAAAATACACCATCAAAAACTGTCAATTCAATGGTTTTTATTTAATGTTTCGATAATAAACACAATGTTCTCTAATTATATGGCATTAAAGAGGTCAAATATGCAATAATGCAACGTCATTGGTTGGCTCAACACACTCGGAGGAGAACACTAATTGCTTATTCTATCAGCTAAGCAACACCTGCACTGGCTAGCACTGCACATTTTCACGATTTAGGATATGTATCACGATATTTTGAGGTTTGATTAGTTAAAACAAACGAAGCAGTTCTCTCACGTTTAAAAAAAATTCTACACTAAATCTATGAATGCCATGAATTTTTATTTAGCGTTTTACATATTGAGTGATGGGTGAGAAAGAGAGGACCATCGAGCTACCCAGTGTGAGAGTGAGGCCAATTGTGCTGTCTTGACCCAAAAAAATCAGGAATAACTTCACACTGTTTCAGTTCCATTCTTTATTCAGACCACCAGGAATTCCAAAACTCTATTTTACTGTTTAAATGATATCAGTTTTTTTTCCCCAAAACAAAACACAGAAAATTTTTCAAGTAACAACTTGTAGATCACTGTTCTCTAAAAAGGCACCCAAAGCGTTTGCACAGAGAATTAAACAATCCTTACAAACCTGACAGGTGGGATGTAGCATTATGTCTGCTGTATGGCACAGTACAGGGGGGCTGGTGGTAATGGAGGCACTGCCAGCTCTTGCTAAACACAATCCATCAACCAAATATGTGAAAGTAATCTTTTAAAGCAGCACTATGTAACATTTGGGGATTTGGAGACCTCTCTGGTGGAAATGTGTAATTGCATGCAATGTGCAAACCTTACACAGTGCTGCTTTCATTTGTAATGCTCTTGCCATGCCTCTCCTTAAACGTAGTTCTGGTAGAAAAAAAAAGTGGTATGCAGAATTTAGGCAAGTGAATGTTTTGTTTATTTTCTAAGTGTAATTAATGTTCTACATCCTTTACGGGGAAAAAAAAACTTATATATGACATTGTTCTGCAAATTTTTGTGCACAATTTCTATTTATTTGTTTAGCTTTACATATGGTAAAAAAAAGAAAACAAAATATGAAATGTGCTGTTAGTGCGTTCTCTGTAGAGGATGTGTTTACTAATTCTCACTCCAAAAATCAACAAAATTTGCAAGTTTAGGGTGCCCAAACTTTTGCATACGACTGTAAATAAGATATATCCACATGTGAAAAGAGGTTGGAATCATCCTGAGCTCCAGAGCGCTGCTGCTGTTCCTTCTTCCTTTGCTCTTTTATATCAGTTCCATATGACGGCCATTGCTGTTCAGTATAAATAAAAACATCTTATGTTGCATCGAATCGTTGCAAAACGGACATAGCACTTTCTCCACAGAGAAAAAACAAACAGAAAAAAGGTCCATCTCTGCAGGTCAGAAGTCCAGCCACTCTGCCATGTATACGCAGGTCGAGGGAGAGATCTCCCCGCCTTCGTGGCAGTCGTCAAACACCTGGGGGAGGGAAAGAGGAAAATGTTCATGTTTCACCTCCTTTCTCTTAATATATTGGTAAGACCAAACAAACCAAACTGAAAATAAACATGCCATTCCCCTGCACAGTCCTATTGCTAGATGTTTGAACTAATTTGGCCATGACTTTTGTACCTTGAGGTTCCTGGGTACTGATGTTATGCTGTTTGGTTTATTTGAATATAGTTTACATATTTATGGATTTTTATTTTTGATATACACATATGAGCCAAAACATTATGACCTAATATGCTGATGATCCTGTGGGCCACCAATACAGGTCCAACCCACTGAGGCACAAGACCTCTGAAGGTGTCCTGTGGTATCTGGCACCAAGACGATAGCAGCAAGTCCTGTATGTTGCAAGGTGGAGCCACCGTGGATTGGACTTGCTGTTCCAGCACATCCCACAGATGCTTGATCAGATTGAGACCTGGGGAATTCGGAGGCCAGGGGAACACCTTGAACACTGTCATGTTCCGCAAACCATGGCCAAACAATGCATGCAGAGTGGCAGGGAGCATGGTCCTGCTGAAAGAGGCCACTGCCACTGAGGACAATCTTCGTCATGAAGGGGTCTACCTGTTCCACAGCAATGTTTAAGAAGGCGGCACGTCAAATTGATGCCCACATGAATGCCTGGACCCAGGGTTTCCCAGCAGAACGTTACCCATTATCACGCTCTGTCCACACTTTGGCTTGTCTTCTTCCTACAGTGCATCCTAGTGCCGTCACTTCCCCAGGTAAACGGTGAACACGTACCCGGCCGTCCACATGATGTAAAAGAAAACAGGACTCATTGGACCAGGCAATCCTTCCGTTGTTCCCATGTGCACTTTTGAAACTTGCAGGCCTATTGTTAGGCGCTGTCGATGGTGGACTGGGGCACCCTGGCCAGTCTGCAACCCCATACACAGCAGGGCTTGATGTGTTGTGACACATTCCTCCTGTAAACTGAAAATTAATGTGACTTGTGCCACAGCAGTTCTTCTGTCGGTTTGGACCAGATGGGATAGCCTTTGTTACCCTTGTGCATCGATGAGCCTTGGGTGCCCAACACTCTGTTGCTGGTTTGCCCCTCCTCGGACCACTGTGGGTAGGTACTCACCGCTGTTCACCTGCTGCTCATTGCAAACCTTGGGCTTTCCGAAATGCTCTGACCCAGTCGTCCAGCTATAATGATTTGCCCCTTGTCGCTCAGGTCTTCATATCTGCCCATTTCTCTCACATCCAACGTATTGTCTATGTGAACTGTCTTAATATATATGTCCTTAATATATATGTCCCAGAGGCTATTTGCCAGATCTTGACATACACCATTGTCACCAGATAGTCAACATTATTTGCTTAATCTTTGAGTGGTCATAATATTTAGGCTCATCAGTTTATGGAGCTTTTATGTCTGGTCATGTCAGGTGACCTTTAAAGCAATAGTTAGTAAAAACATGCACAATTTTCCTCTTACCCCAAATGTTGTTAATCAGTCAAGATATGTTTGGTGTCCTGTGCTTGACTGTTTTGGAGCTGCAAGGCTAATATTAACTAACAAGTAATGGAAGGTTTACAGATATACAGATGTACGGTCCAGTGCAACAAACACCTCTTCTGTTTCTGGTTGTTGGACACTACAGTCCTGGAGTAACTGTGCTGAGGTAAATAGTAGCTTCTAGAGTAATTATAGCATTTACCGGACAGAGTCCACAGGGTGTTTTGACCAGGCCTGTGGGCTGAATGATGGGGTTCACTCCCCTGTAGAGCTTCATCTGACCATCCACACACCCCACTGTGCCCTCTTTAGCTGCGATGATTGTCATCTCCACCTTCCCATCATATATCAGTGTGTTCAGAATGGTCTCAATGTCCTCCATGGACAGATCCACCTGCACATAGGAGCATATTTAACCCCTCATACACCTTCACAACAGACCACAAGCTAGTTTATAATGAAATCACGATACATGATATGTCACGTTATTAATTTTTCCAGACCTTTGATCAGTTGGAACTAAGAACTAAAAAAGAACCAATAGTGCTACATGTTAAAATACAATCAAAAACTGTGAACAATGGTTTTTATTCGATATTTGGCATACTGTGTTACACTAAATCCAGTTAAACGAGACAGTGTTCTACTGATGATATACACAATATATTCACAAAGGCATATTATATTGTATTGTGACACAATTTATCATGTTAACCATATATATTGACATACTGCCCAGCCCTACTGGACACCGCAAAAATGAGCTCTTAACAAGCCAATTTGTATCAGAAATTGGCTCAAATCTCGGCTCGTTTCCAAGTCTTAGGAAAGTTCCATAAATCAGACGCAGAGTATATCATGTTTTTAAATGCGGTCAAATCTGCGCTCTTTTTTTACACAATTTTGATAAATATGGGCCGCTGTGCTTGAAGTGTAAAGTGTAAAGCAGATAAAGACTAGCCTTGCTAATGCCAAGCTCGCAGATGTACTTCCACACTTCGTGTGAGGTGGCGAAGGAGCTGTTCCTCTGGACCATGGGACTCTGCTTACTGTCCCTCGCCGCCTCCGCCTGTGAAATGCATACAGACATATTCTGGCGTTGTCCAATATGCCGAAATATCTTCACACAGTCTTCCTTCAATGGGTGCGACTTGCACTCCAAAATAACTTTAAAAAGTTATTTTGAAGTTTCATCAGCTTCTTGGTTTTGTACAAGCCGATCACAAAGCCACTGAAGTTGAATGTGCAGACTGTGTGACTTTCCTCACCTTACTTTGTAGAAATTTAAAGCACTGCTGGTTGAGAACCTCCACAAACTCAGACTCAAAGTCCTGATCGCTGTACCACGCTCCCCCCGTGACCGAGCGGTCTGGCTGCAGGTTATACAGCATGTACACCTTCTTCTTAGAGGCCTGGACACAAGAGCCAAAGCATTTACTTAACAGCGTACAAAATGCTTCAAACCTGAGATTCAGTAAAACTCACTACATGCATTTCAAAACAGCCTTATTTCATGTCAATAACTCACCGCAACAGACTTCACAGCTTTGATGAGCTTTTTGCTCTCGAGGTTCTTCAGGATTTTGTTGATTTCAGTCAGAGGGAGGTTGCTCTTATACCGGATATCCCTGCTCCAGATTCCTATAAACGGCACATCCACAAATCAAAGATAAGACCACTCTCTTTAAGGTCTTTCCCCACCTACTTCTCTGTGCAATTCATTTATGACTCATAATATCTAGCACACAAAACACAATTTTTTTTTGGATGGTGAAAAGGTGACATTATTTCATATGTCTGATTTCTGCACACTGTTTGCGAGCGACTGTCTCAGCTGTTGGCATGGCGACAACCAAGATGACGACTGCGTCCCAGCAACTAGAACGTTCTGACAAGCGTCAAAAGAATCTGTGTCCTTTGCCTGATATGCAAAAACATCGCTACAGACATCTGACCTATCTGTGAAAAGTGCTAACAACGTTTCAGCTCCTAAATGAGGAGGTGAAATGTTTTGTTCTCCTTTTGCTTTTCCAAACTGCCCAATGTCAGCACTTGCCCATTTTGTGAGGAGCAGGTTTTTGCACTTAAAGAAATTCTGCCTGTTTGCTCAATTTTTCCTACGTGTGCAATTTTACTTGCTTAAACCCCACATAAAGCTAAACTACACTTTAGCTGCATAATGTAAAGCTTCCTACAACTCACTTGAGTCAGCTTCTGACCTGCTAACCACCACAAAAAAACAAAGGACAAAGAAAAAGAAGCTTTAATTTACCTTTATTCCCAGCATCCTCTATGATTTGGTAAACTAGCTTCTCTTGGTTGTCAGAGCCCTTCATTTTACTGAAAACAAAGCATTCGAATAAAAGATTTATACATGAAAAAGTATGAGCTATTAAGGCTGGACATGGATGACTAGTATTTCATACATAACTGAATGGCCCTTACCTTGCTGATTGGGCATCCTTTAGCCTGTACAACAAACCATTGCTGTTTCTGAGAAGATCCAGTTGGCCCTGCAGACATAAGAGTATGACATGAGTAAGTATGAACTTATTGATTAGGATTAAGTCTGCAGCATCAGTCTGTGCTTATGTTTGATAAACATTGCTTTATCTTGCACTTTGTAGAATTACAGGGTTCAGCTTGTTTGTAACAGTTAAATAGAGATTGTAGTCTTGCTTTTTTACCTAGTAAGAACAGTCTATTATCAAATGCATACTGACTATGCAAAATATCACTGTATTATCTACAATTAAATTTCTTTGAAAATTTAAATAGGAAACAAAATGCTTGGAACATTCATTAGATATCAAATATATGACAGTGTCAGCCTCATATGCTCCACCCACATATCTACTGCAACTGGTGGAAAGCTACCAAATTTGTGTTTTCCTAACATGTATATTTATCTCATACACAGCCCCTCTCCCTATTCTGGAGAAGCATTTAAAAGCACAGAAGCCCACCAGCTCTTCACGTCAGGGTGGGTAAAGGATCCTGTGGTGTTGCATGAAGAGGAGAAAAACTCTGACAATAGGAGAGTAACGACATCAGCTAATTAACACAGATGTGAACAATGCTAGCCTTTAGATAACTTTAGCTAATGTTAACAGCCGAGAGATAAACAGTCGTCCCCCTAACGGAGCTGCAGACAGCTGGTATAACTTTACTTCTTTGTTTCCGGAGATTTAAATGACATTTGAATGGAGAAACATTAACGTTAAATATCAGACTGAATGTCGTGGGTCAGAAAACGACGTCGTGTTTCGACAGACGTGATTCTGTAAGTTTGTTAGTTCAGTTAGTTTAGAGTTCAGCTCCAGTCCTGAAACCCCTGCACTGCATAACTGTGGTTTCCCTGGTAAAATGCCTGATATTATTAGCTAATTAATCCCTTCTTGAGCTGAACGAGGTGTGAACAGCAGAGAAACACTAAACTATACAGTGCAGCGGCTCCAAACCTGGAGTGAAAACACTGAATTAAAGGTCTGAGTGTCTCTCGTCTCTCGGCTTCTGTTGCGTCTCACAGGTGAATCATTCACAAAGCACAGCAAATTAAAATGGCAGTGACTATACAGTGTGAGGAAGAGGCAGAAGTCTGGCTTGTGAGACCAGATTTATCATGGCTATTATCACATGATACAACAATACACATTGCATTTGTACTCCATATTGTGTAGCTGACACACAGATCCTGACAGGGCATGTCCAAAGCATTTTAGATGCTGGCCAATGCTCCAGGATGAACTCTAATGTCTATATAACTCTATGGACCATCACTTCATTTCACTATTGCTCACTTCACTACTGACCATTCATTTTCATACATATACACGGCAAACAATGTTTCTTGTCAGGGGGAAATGATCTTAAATCTAGTCAATATGTCTAATATATCCCCATTTTGAGATGGTTATGCACTTCTAAGATTATCTACCTTATTTCTAGACATTTTTTACTTGTTTTAAGTAATTCTACAGAGTACAGAGGTGGCTTCTTAGAGGTAGAGCCCTTACCACAGACAGCAGCCGGTTGATGGCCATGGCCCGCTGCTGGGCCTCCACATGGGGCATGTCATTCTGGATGACCTGATCAGTGATGCCATGCGGAAACTGCTGACAGAGCTCCTTTATCCTTTAACACAAAAAAGTCCAAAGTAGTTTTAATGACATGATCATAATGAAGTCCAACAGGTTTTCTTCTCAAAAACATTTTAGAGTTTCTTAAAGCAATTCGTTTGGTGAAATGTGTGCGTCTAATGCAAAATATGGCACAACAATTCACTGCTATACACTCCTGCAGGGCATGGAACTGCGGTGTTGTACAATCATTAGCGAATGAAATCAACAGTTATGCAACATCACCTCCTCAGGTCGCATTATAACTGAGAAATCTGACGTATTCACTAAATGTAGCAATAACAATATCAGTGTTTACCTATTAGCTTCTTTACTATAGCAGCTATTAGCTTCAGTTCCCTGTGTCCCTCCGCCTAACACGAACAGAAACGCACCACTGCCCACAACATTGGAGTGTAGTAGTAAAATAGTCCCAGGCCAGTTACAACTACAAGGATTTTTTGCTCTTTATTAGGTCTTAAGATGGAAATAACAGCACAAGATTTGGGAAATACTGCAGCTCTGTAGTGGAATATTTGAGAGGTTGTAAAGCATTTTTGTTGTCCCATTTTATGCCTCATAGAAGCATATGGGAGGTTGTTTTGCACCAAATTTTACTTTAAAAGCACCCAATTATTAAAACACCAACATAATTTAAAAAAAAATAAATGTAAAAAAAAATTGGAAAAAAATGAAACATACCTTTAAATGAAAATTCCATCAAAATGTTTGTATTTAAATGCTGAGATGTCAACAAAGTCATTCAGAGTGGTTTGATGTGAAATAGTTCACTGTAGAGAAACTTACTCGGATTTCTTTACAGTGGTGCTGATAGGAACCAGACGTTGTGATGTCGACAATCCAAATAAGTATTTTATTTAGTATCTAAAACCACCAGTGAACCTACACGTGTCTTCTGAGTTTGCATGTGTAATGTTAATAATGGTAAAACAGCAGTAAATGAATTGCAAAAGTGGTAAAGTAAGTTTTATGTGGGTACTATTTTGCCATACAACGCCCTGCGTTTATCTCTCTGCCATCTAAGTCTTAAAAAATATGTTTAAGTAATAAACTGTCTCTGAAAACTACAGTATATCAATATTTCAGACATCATACCGTGTACTCGTAAATATGTCATGCAATAGCTTTCTGTGAGGTAGCTTATAGAGGCGTTAACCTCTTCAGACTTCTGGTTCCTATCACGACCACCGTCAACAATTCTGATTCTGCGAGTTTCTCTAGATCGGAGCATTTCACACCAAACCGCTCCGAATGACTTTGTTTACAGCATGATGATTGCATAAACTGATATTTATGTTTTTTTATGTCGCACGTCTGGTTCTTTTTTGTCTGTTTCCACTTATCAGGTGTCAGAAAAATAAACCGTGGCATTTCGTGTATTGTGAGCTAACGTTATCGTATTTGAGGTACTTTTAACCGTATTTAATGCTCAGTTTAATGCTCAGTTCACTCAGAGTTCTGATGTAACCCAAGTCTCTCTGAGCTTTAAGCGTCTCCGTCCATAACGCTGCACTCCTGGCCGAACTTTAAGGCAGATTAGAGCCGCAGTTCTCACCTGTTTTCGATGTCGACCGGATCCGTGGACTCTTTCTTCACTTTAACGTCTGCCATGGTTCGTGTCTGACAGAGTTTATGGCTGAATGTTAACGCAATGAGGCGATAATTCACAGTTAAACTGCACCCGCGTTACTGTCAACACAGCACCATGTCGGCTGGGTCCTTCGTCAGAGAGCCCCTTCCTTCTGCAAGCGTTTGGTGGCTCACAGACCGCCTGTTTAAAAGTCATATCAGATGTTCCGCGCCAAACTGCGCTGCTCGTTTTGTTGTTGTTGTTTTGCAGTTCTTATTTATTGAGACTAAATTAATGTCATCCTTAGTTCAATCTTTATGGTAGCATGACCCGGTACGTACTAAATTAGCCAAAATGGGCCAAGCCAGGCCTAGTTGCTATAGCAACGCGTGGCGGCGCCTTTTTTATTTATTTTATTTTATTTTATTTTATTTTATTTTATTTTATTTTTGGTGTGTAATACAGCGTCCAAATGTGGTAACTTTACCTGCTTTTTAAAAAATATGTTTTTTCCCCCATGCATAGTTCTTGTATAGCGATTAATTATATCATTGTAAATGAAAAAAAAAGTGCTTTAAATTTTATTTTAAAAATCATATACAGAATTGATTCAATCTAGTAACATACAAATTTCTATCGAACATATTTAAATTAAAAGACAATACATACATCCCAATGATATTTTAACTTTTTATTGTAATTTATTTTAGATAAATAAAACACAATAAAAATGTTTTTTTAAGAAAATGATCAATTATTATTGTGATAATTATGAATAATTTAAACTAGCCTCGTTCTGTTTTTACAAAACGTATGAGCTAAGACCGTTTGCCATTGGCTCAGACGGTTGCTAAGGGCTACGTGGTTGGCCAATAGCAGCGTGCTTTGCTCTGCGGTCGAGTTTATCATTGCGGCGTCGCTGGATACGCTGTAGCGCAACATGTAGAGGTAAACATGCATCTAAAACGGAGACTAACGCTAAATACTTGCTGATCTAATCAGGTTTATCGTGCAGACTGTCCGTTGTGTATCGTTCTCCAGTGTGCAGCAGCCTTAAAACCGTTTCTATGCGTTTAAACCCAGATGGCTGCTCTCTGTGCCTCGTACGTCTGCCTGTAACATCTGCTTTAGGCTTGGTTCAGCTGCGTCTGATCTGTGGGGTTCATTAATGTTCTTATCCCTTCTGATATCCTGCTCTGGGGTCGAGGCATTCAGATGACCGGCTACTTAATTTTTTCACTCTCTTTTCCCAGCTTTTATGACCAAGTGGCCAATTTCATTTGACTGTTGCACTAATCACCAGTGGTCACAAAAGAAAGGACTGTATTTGGAGCCCAGGTCCAGATTTGGATACCTCTGACCTCTGACGATGACCGCAGGCTCCATTGTGGCCCCATTCATCATTCCCATTCGTGTGCCTCCTCCTGGTAAAGCCAAGCATGAGATAGACACCAACACGCCTGTTGAGATCAAATCAGGTGGGTGTAGGTTCACTGTTGTTTTCAGTTCAAATGTGCAAAATGTGCTAGTTCTACATTTACAGACTGTAGTCCATCTGTTTCTCTGCATATTTTGTTAGCCCCCTTTTACCCTGTTCTTCAGTGGTCAGGACCCCCATGGACCCTCACAGAGCAGTTACTATTTGGGTGGTGGATCATTCTCAGCACTGCAGTGACACTGACGTGGTGGTGGCGTGTTAGTGTGTGTTGGGCTGGTATAAGCAGATCAGACACAGCAGTGCTACTAGTGTTTTCAAACATTGTCCACTCACTGTCCACTCTATTAGACACTCCTACCTTGTCAGTCCAACTTGTAGATGTAAAGTCAGAGACGATAGCTCATCTGCTGCTGCACAGTTTGTGTTGGTCATCCTCATCCTCATCAGTGGTCACAGGACGCTGCCCACAGGACACTGTTGGCTAGATATTTATGGTTGGTGGACTATTCTCAGTCCAGCAGTGACACTGAGGTGTTTAAAAACTCCAGCAGCACTGCTGTGTCTGATCCACTCAAACCAGCACAACACCCACTAACATGCACCACCCAAATAATACTTGCTCTGTGGTGGTCTCATGGGGGTCCTGACCACTAATCTGTAAAGCAGCTGGTCAGGGTGTTCTCCACTGTGGAAACAAAGGCGGTGTTGAGCCTTTTTGATGAGGCGTGACATGTTGAGTGACCAGGTGAGATCCATGGTCACTCAACATGTCCTGATGGTGTTGCAGTTGTTGATGCAGTCATAGGTGTACAGGGTGGAGCTTTCTGGACTGCTCCATTGTTGTGTGTCTTAACAAAGGACTCGTCTCATTTCAGACACCCCTGATGTGACTATCTTCTACACGCTGGATGGCAGTAAGCCAGAGGTGCTGAGAAGGCCAGGGTTTGGGAACGACACCCTGACCTACAGCAAGCCCATTCGATTACCCAGTGGCAAAGTGTCAGTGAGAGCGGTGGCGGTCACCAGGTACTTCAGCAAACAGCACAATATTAAAGGGGAATTCCACCAGTTTTTCAAAATGTCTGCATGATTACATTTTTAAGATGGAAACAAAGTAACTCAGAGAGGTTTGATGTGAAATGTACCATTGTAGATAAACTTACCAAGCCAGAATTGTTCACAGTGATGGTGATAGGAACCAGATGACCAATTGTTTAAAGCCTCTAAAAGCTATCCCATAGAAAATTATTACATGAAATGGTTATGAATGCACTGCCTGATGTCTGAGACATTGTTTTGCAATAGTGTTACAATAAGCCTTTTGGCTTAAAACATCTATTTTTTTGAAATACATTCATGGCAGACAGGAAGATGCAGGCATGTTCTAAGGCAATAGTTCCATAAGACACGTGTAGGTTCACTGGTGATTTTGGGTAGGAAATAAAATGGCTTTATTTGTGCTTGTAGACATGACGACCCCCTGGTTTCTGTCACCACCACTGTAAAGAAATCAGAATCTGTAACTTTCTCTACAATTAACCATTTCACATTAAACCACTCTTAATGACTTAAGTCTCAACAACCGTTCATAAGTTTTGAAAAATTGGTGGAATTCCCCTTTAAGCCCCCTTCCATCCGGCAAATCCAAGATGAAGCCATAAATGAGCCCATATTCTATATTTTTCTTATTTCTTATCTTTTTTCCAATGTGAGTCCACTTCTTACATTCGTGTAGGTTTATGTACCAAAAATATTCAAAATTCATTTTTACATGTCAATTTTTACAACCTCTCCTTTAGTAGTGAGCGGAATTTGGCTTCTTATTCGAAATTCCGGTTCCGCCTTAAATGGCGCAGCAGTTACATACAGGCAGTACAATTTCCAGAATGTAACTGCTGCTTGGTTTAAGGTGGAATGGAAAATTCAAACAAAAAGGTGCAGAATAAGACGCACCTTGTAGAAATTCAGATTTAGCCAGGCCTGTGGAGTCTAATGTTAGAAAGCAATACTGATGAGTTTATATGTACACTGTATATGTTTTGTTTTTACTACTTTACACAATAATATTTCAGTTTTTAGTTTTGTGGTTAAAAATGGTTCTTATTAAAAAGTGAAGGGACATCCCAGCTTTATAAGCCACTAACTGATCTACAAAAATAGGTCTACTTAAGCATCTAAAATGGTTTCATTTGATAAAATATGCAGATTATGATTTATGCCAAAACTGTGAGTAATTTTAATGATACCACGCTATAATTTTTTGGCCATACAACTCACTACAACTGTCCTTATTTCTGTAGAATTAAACAGGCAGGTTTTATTACTGGTTCTGTCAGTGTGCCTGTAAGATGAATATATGTAAATATTCTTCTGTTCTGATTGGCTGCCCTCAGTGCCTCATTAAAAAACAGTCCAGGCTGAAGTATACAGAATAAACTGTAAAGTTCAGACTGAAATCCTGTGGCTTGTTGGAAAAAACAGACTTCCGGTTGTATAGAGTTTTAGGCTACAGTGATCACCTCAGTGTGAACTTACACAGTACATTTAGCTATACAGCTATACAGTAACGGTGCTTATTCATTTTTACCAATGGCCAATAAATAATGAATAATTACCAATGAAAATTGACACCAAATCTTGATTTTTTTACTCACTTATATGAAATAAATGATCATTTCTGCTGTTTGGAATGACAAGAATCTGAGTGTAATAGAGTGGTGTGCACTTCTTACAAGTGGAATTGACTAGTGAAACTGAGAGGGGGCTTTATTTTATGAATGGGAACTGGGTATATGGATTTGCTCTGAAATGAATTGATTTGTTCTGAAATTCAGTGATTTGTAAGTGTTTTATTTGTTGTTTGAGCATCAGAATAAAAGACAGATGCCTCTCTCCCGTTACAGCGATGGCCGTCAGAGTGCGGTGGTCACTAAAGTCTTCCTCGTGGAGCATGTTCCCTCTGAGCTGCAAGAAGATTCAGAGGAAAACCAGGACGAGGTGGATTACTCCCTCAAGAACACGGAGCAAAGTGACTCCAAACGCGTATGTTTTCCATCCTTTTATCGCTTATTTTACAGCAATAGAAAACAATTCACAAGATCAAATATAAACAATGATTTACTTCTTTAATCTGGGTCAAAATGGATAAATTACAATAAGAAATCTAACATGACTGCACTGCATCTGATTCATGAAGCTTTATGTACAACATGGAAACGAGCAGAGCGCAAATGATGGACCAAATCCAGTGTGTGAAATCAAGCACCATCCTACCAGTACCTCATTTACATATAATTTACATGTAGCCCACCCTAATTTGTGCAGATGTTTTGGTAGGTAGCCAATATAAAGACAGCGTTTAATGGCTCGCATGCCAGTGGCTGCACTTGTAGGCGTTTGAGTGCACTGCTCCCCCTACTGACAGAACTTTATGGTGTTAAAATTATCACCACTGCAAAGAATAAAATATGAAACGTCTTCCTCTTTTTAGTGATTGTGTAGTGTGATTATTTTCTTAAAATAACATTTAAATGCTGTATTACTGCAGTGTACAGTCCACAAAATAAACAATACAAAAGCTAGTACATCTCATACGCTGCAATAATACAACCATTAAATATTATTTTAAGAAAATAATCAGTGTAGTATGTCTTTAAATGGAAAATGGAATGGTTGTTTATATCAATGCGCATGTTAAAATAAGTTCATCCATTTTTGTACTGTGTTAATATTAGCCTGATGCTGATACCCATCACTACCAATATTCCAGTATGTTTACCTTGCCTTGCATTTCATGTCCACAGGATAGCAGTGCCTTTCTGAGTGGTGCTGGAGATGCGTCTGGGAAACATTTAGGTACAGGTGGTCCTGAAATATTTAGTTACAGTTTGGTAAATGTGGTAAGAGCACTGTTACTGTAGTGATAATTTACTTGAATACCAGTTAAATGAATTTTTAAAGAAATGGCTCAAGTAATAGTACTCAGTAGCAGCAGTGCTAACCAATCAGCACTCAGCAGAAACAATGCTAATCAATCAGCACTCAGTAGCAGCAGTGCTAACCAATCAGCACTCAGTAGAAACAATGCTAATCAATCAGCACTCAGTAGCAGTAATGCCAACCAATCAGCACTCAGTAGTAGCAATGTTAACCAGTTAGCACTCATTAGCAGTAATGCTAAGCAGTCAGTACTCAGTAGCAGCAATGCTAAGCAGTCAGCACTCAGTAGCAGCAATGCTAAGCAGTCAGCACTCAGTAGCAGCAACGCTAGCGTCCTACAACCCAAAACTTGATTGCTGTAGAAAAACAAAAATACACTAGTAAGTTTTCTTTGATTTTTTTAGTGGAATACATTCTTCTACTTTCCAAAATTAAAGGTAGTTCGTACATAAATGGTTAGAAACATGTTTATTTTTAAATTTTACTACAAATTAAACTTAAAACAGTAATAGAAAAAAGTAACTATTTAGAGTATTAGCCAGTCAGCTAAGCTAACAGTTTCCTCAGACTGAGAGTTACGGTTATTGGAAATAAAAATAACTATGTTGAAATAGAAATGAACTCAAGTAAACTCAAGTAAAAGTAAATAAAAACTGCTATAATTTAATTGTGACTGTAACGTAACTGAACTATGTGTACAGTGAAAAATGTAACGTCACTCAACCTCAGCAAGTTTTGACTCACATCTCTAATGATTGTGTTTGGTTTGTTAGATATCCCCCACACTGGACCCCGACGTGCTCGAAAAGGCCCTCGCTTTCTGGCCCAGCGCTTACACACCGCACCTGCAGCCTTGCCTTCGAAACACACACAGGTGAGGATCCACACTGATATTTACTTTTATGATATTTGGCTCATATCCAGAGCGAGTCACAGTCTAATATTACAGAGGCTTAAAAAGCCATTTATCTTCACAGTAAGTGCTGAGAAATACTAATACTAGGAAAAATAAAAATGATATTTACACAGTAGTGATTTAATGTATGTCAATGTGTTTGTTTTACCATTTCCAAACAGTTCCTCAAGGAAACTGGGTATTGTAATCATCATCCAATACCTGGTGTCTAACCAACACTTTATTAAATTAAATCAGGAGTGCTGATTAAATCCATGCGATGGCTGGGGGGCGTTCTTCTAACCAGCTAAGATATCAACTACTGTTTTGATAAAAAAAGAAATTCTTGTTTGTTTTTTTTACTGTATTAAAGAGCCCATAACAGAGAAAACTGAAGTTTCCTCCCTTACTTGAAACAAGAGTTTGATGTGGGATGTAAACATTGTTAAGGTTTTAAAACATACTGTTTACTCTGCAGTCCAAAAACAGCCTGTTTTAACAACAACAACAAACTATACATTTACTTTATATCCACCTACAGCAGTTTAGCTCCGCCCACTTACAGTGTTTCAGCCTAGACTGCTTTATGAATGGTAGATAGATAGATAGATAGATAGATAGATAGATAGATAGATAGATAGATAGATAGATAGATAGAGAGACACTTTATTGATCCCGAAGGAAATTTAGCAAATTGAGGCAGACAATAGGGCAGCCAATCACAATAGAGGTCATATACATATATCGGTCTTAAAGACATAGTCTGTTTAACTCTGAAGGATATAAAGAGGCTCATACAGAAAAGAATTGGCACTATTTCTGGTAATAAGTGGATAAAAATGTAGAATATGGCCCTTTTATCTTAATAGAACTCAGATTTTTGTACAGTATTTGTACAATGCTTATTGAGTGGTGTCCCTTTTCAGAGTGCATCCACTGTGGAGAGCGTGTTCAAAACCCTGACCAGCACACAGATGTCTCGCATCCAGAGAGAAACAGATTTCCTAAGGTGAGAAAGGTGTAATCTGAAAAGGGAAATTCATCATTTTTTTCAAACGTTCTGCATAACCCAACCACTGAGATGTAAACAAAGTCATTCAGAGTGGTTTGATGTGAAAAGCTCTGTTCTAGAGAAACACACAGAGTCAGAATTGTTCACAGTGATAGGAACCCGACAGCTGAAGGGTTTCGTGCCTCCAAAAGCTCCCACACAAATGGATATTACACAACATGATTAGGAATATGCAGCATGATGCCTGAGAGATTGTGGACCCTCATCTGTGTGTGTTTCACGGGCGAGGCTGAAGGTGGCCTAAAATATATTTTTTTAATTCCATTCATGGCACAGAGGCACATGCAGGGCACTGTAATTCTGGGGAATTTTTTGGGTATTTACATGTGACAGTCACACATGCCATATGTTGTTATTTTCAGGAGACCATGGGCTACTCAGATATGCCATTGTTTGACATGTAAATGCTAACAGAACTTTAATATCTTTATGAATTTGGCTCATTTCTGATCAAAAATGTACCTAGCACCTGCAAAATTTTGTATTTTTTTTTATTATAGTGGAATTGTAGTTATCTTTTCAGAAATTGTTAGTCTGAAGTGTCTGTGAGCTGAAAATACAATAATTTTGCTGGTGATTCATTCTATTGATTATTATAAGTAAAAATAAACAATTAGCATAAGCCAGTGTTTTTTTACTGATTTTCTGTCCTCTTGGATTCATGCTGAGTGCTAAAACTCTGATACACAGCAAGACAGGCTTTATTTTTAATTACAAATTGAGTTGCATATTTAATATCAGATATTTTCAATACTCAAAATCAATGTAAACTGAAAGCCCTTTGTTTATAATATGAGGATAAAAGCAGAGATGTAATACAACAGTAGCGAGTGGGGTTTGGGTGATTTTGGAGCTGGACTGCTGGCTGATGGATGGTCACAGGTGGATGAAATCACTCTGGATGGTGAAGCAGAGTCTGATGAGTGATCTGATGTGTGAATCATGTCGCTGTTTAACCTTTTGTTGGAATATGAAGGCCAAGCAGCAGAGCAATAATATCAGGATTTTAGGTGATTTTCTGAGCCGAATTACTCACTGATGCTTGCTAGTTAGGGACGGGTCTGCTCAATGTCCTGATATGTGTATTATGTCTGTAGCTTAAACCGTTCTGAAGTTATGAAGGATAGAAGTGACCTACCGTTTTGGGGCTAAACATCTAAAACAACATTTTCAGATCTATTTTACCATAATTAACACTACATATAAAACTGGTGTAGAATTGCTGGTCATTTTGGATAGTAAATAAAAAGGCTATGTTTGTTTTGTAGACATTGTGACCCCTGGTTCCCATCACCACCACTGTAAAGAAACCATTTCACACCAAATCACCGATGTGCAAACCCCTGACCACTTACTACTATGATCCACTGCATCATGAAATCTTCAATCTCACCATAATTTGATGCGGTCATTTAAAAAGATAGCACTATAAATTCATTTTGGCTACAAAATGAGCAAATACTATACTGAATATTATAATAATCAGTTATAAACAACTCTGACATTCCAAAATGAATGCAGTTGAATCTCTACATTCAGATTGATGTATTTTTTTCTTTTTGCCATTTTATTAATGCAGTTTATGTTTTTAGTATAAATGCTTCTGTTCGAAACACGATGTGAAATAATCGGTGATGATTGTAATGGTGGATTTGAACATTTTGGGCTACAGGTGCTCTAAGTGTTTGAGTCATCGCCCCTCGGACCCCTTCGCCCGGTTCTGCCTGCACTGTGGCGCTCCGGTACCTCCAATCCCAGGACAAAGGCTGCCTCCTACTGAGGGTGGACAGGTAACTACAGCATCATGCCAAAATGTGCCAATAATTATCATGATTCATTTTCACATGAATAAACCCCTTTATAAAACCGCCTAGAATCAAGGGCTGTTTATGTTTATGTATTATGTATTGTGCCTCCTTCAAAAAGCATTCAGGATGCAGGAACAACACTCCCTATCACTTCAACATGGGAGGCTTACAGCTAACTGCTGTAGGCTGAATGGATAGTCATGTGTAAATTTATTCATACTTGTGACATCACAACCATACCCAATTCAAAACAGGCTACTTCTTCAACGTAGGTTCCAAATATGGACAATGTCATGATGTGGGTCATTTAATGGTTACTAATGCTTTGTGTATGTGTGTCATGTCAGATGGTCCTGTGTGTGCAGTGCAAAAGCAGGGTCCCAGCAAACACGTCCTCATGTGTGGTGTGTGAAGCACCACTGGCTCCACAGCTTCAACCACAGGCCAGCCTGAGGCTGAAGGTATTCATGACTGTACACATAGAATAAACAATCTAAATACTGCATATCTGATCACTCACAAACAGCTCTACATAGAGCTGCACCAGAGTTTGTATATACCACTGATTTATGACTTACATTCATACGTACATTCACCTTCCAGTTTGTTAGAGTAAACTTGATGGTGAGCAGTTTGTGAGCAATCATACACTATATGGCCAAAAGTATGTGGACACATGACCTGTATGAGGTTTTTGGACTTCCCATTCAAAAACAATGGGCATTCATATGGAGTTGCCCCCTCTTTGCGGCTATAACAGCCTCCATTCTTCTCAGAAGGCTTTCCAGAAGATTTTGGAGTGTGTCTGTGGGAATCTGTGCCCATTCAAAAGAAAGAGCATTTGTGTGGTCAGGCACTGATGTTGGACGAGGAGGCCTGGCTCACACTCGACGTTCCAGTTCATCCCAAAAAATGTTCAGTGTGGTTGAGGTCAGGACTCTGTGTAGGGCACTGGAGATCCTCCACACCAAACTGGTCAACACTTGGCATTGTGCATTTTGATCTTAGGCTTGTGTGATGCTGCTCAGCCATGGAAACCCATTTCATAAAGCTCCTGATGCACAATTCTTTGTGGCTAAGCTGTTGTTGTTCCTAGATGCTTCCATTTCACAACGATAGAAATGTTTACATTCACTAAGCTATGGAGACTGTGCTTGATTTTATACACTGGTTAACAATGGGTATGACTGAAACACCTGAACTCAATAATTAGGAGGGGTGTCCACATACTTTTGGCCATACAGTACATTTAAAAAAAAATACAAAAGACTTTTCTTTATATACTTCAAACGATCGTCTTCTCCTTTAGGACAAAGTGGTCTGTCACTCATGTGGAACAGGAAATCCCGCCCACATCACCTACTGTGTGACTTGTGAGACCAAACTACCTCAGGCTGACAGCGTAAGAGCATGGCCAATCATACAGCTGCTGCAACCAATCAGAATGTGCATGTATAACATATCTGCAACATCTACAGATTTTCATTTGTGACTGTGTTTATTCCTCCGTGTTGTTTTGTAGCCTGTTTTGAGCGGTCAGCGTGCTCCTCCTCTGCCCTGCTCGGAGGGAAAGATGGTGTCCTGCTCTAAATGTAATAGAGTAAATCACTCCGATGCTCGATTTTGTGACTGGTGTGGAGCCAAGGTGAGAGAACTCCTCATACGCAACTGCAATACACAAGGCTCTGAGGTCCAGATCACCAGTAAAATCAAATAAGATTTGAGTTCTACAACTTACACTACTATTTAAAAGTTTGAAGTAATTTGTCTTATTTTTTCAGTTTACATACATTAATAAAAAGCGTAGATTTAAATATTACAAACTAAACACTAAAAGTTTTTTTTAATTCAATATTTCACGTATATTTAGGGACAAAATATCATCCAGTTTGTGTGGTCTACCACTTTGTGGCTGAGCTGTTAATTTCCCTAGATACCTCAATAATTGCAACAATAGCACTTACAGTTGACTGGGGCAGATCTAGCAGGGGAGAAATTTCATATACTGACTCCATGTGTTATTTAAAAGTTTGAACTTGTCATATTACTAGTTTTTGTTAGCTTATGTACAGAAATAGAGTGTAGATTCTAATATTTGCAACCAACACCAAAAGCTATTATATTTTATTTAATATCTCATGTATTCATAGGGATAAAATACCTTCCACATAAGATAATAGGACATAAAACAAAAGACATAATATTAACTATAACTCTGTATGTGTGTCTGTCCATCCCAGCCTGGTCATGCGGTCAGTTCTCTGACCTGTTCTCAATGTGGAGCGAGCAGCCACCCTTACTCTAACTACTGCGGAACCTGTGGTGTGTTTCTGGAGGGTCCCCCCCGATTGTCCACCCGCACCAACCAGTTGGGTCCACAAGAGGGTGCACTAGAGTCTGAACAGGTTCGCTTATTGATGACTTGAAGTCTCAGTTGATTTCCGAGGTTTTACGTAACGTCATAACAATCATATTTTACTTAACATAGAAGTCCAGAGAAATTCCACTTATATTAGATCAAAATATCAAGTCGTCTCTTAAGTCGTTTTGTCTCTCCCTCTCTCTCTCTCTCTCTCTCTCTCTCTTTCTATAGGCTTCATCACTAAGCGCTACCTGGCAGCCAGTATCTGCCAGTGCCCCCTCCTCTGGAGTGGATGTGTCACCAGTGAGTCCAGCCATGCGTGTGGATGCGCAAACGCAGACCACAGGCCTCTTCTACCCCTCCAGCACAGAGCTGCAGAGGCGGGGCCAGCAGAGGGAGGCGGAGCTAAGCAGGCAGGAGAAGATGAGTGATAGGAAGCCTCTCCTCACAGCCATTAGTCCAGGACGAGGTAGAGCAACACAGTAACATACAAGCCCATTAATACTCAGAATACATATACTATATAGCAGAACACTGTACAACAGCAGAGTATCAGTAATGCAGACTAAATATTCTGGTTCTCGGAGAAGATATTATAAAGTCAAAGGACTTTATAATGGGCCTCGTTTCAGTGAACATTTTGGCAAAAATCAATCAGCCATTACACGTTCGGTGTCCAAAGTTCTTTTAGTTTTGCGCCGGAGCTACGAAGGTAATGTAGCTAATAAGTAATAGGGCTTATGCCCACCAATTAGCGTTGTGCAAAACATGACATGTTTGCTTTAAACTGTGTCAAACTGTTAGATGATCTCAAATAGACTTGCTTAAATGGTTTCTGACACTGTGTGACATACAATTGTAAAAGAAATGGACAGAAATATGTTGCATAACTAAAAGCAATAGTAGCAGCCAACTTGAAGCTTGAAAGTACTTAAAGTCTTATTTTTATGGATCAGGATCAGTTTGCAAGATGCTAATTGATGGGGTATACATTTTTGTTACTTGTTACCTGGACTAGTGGCTCCTCAGAGTAAATTTTAGACATGAAATATGTTTTGTCTGATGTGCTTCAATTTAAAAAAAAATGATTTTGATTTCTAGTATTTTAGTGAATAAGTGTAAGTAAAGATAAATATTCAACACAATGGTGCTTTACACCACTCCAGCCGACGCTTGGCATTGCTGTGCAGCTGCTTGGCCATGGAAACCCATTTTAAGAAGCTTCCAATGCACAGTTGTTATGCTGATGTTGCTTTCGGAGGCAGTTTGAAGCTCTGTAGCGAGTGATGCAACAGAGGATAGGCGTTTTTACATGCTTCGTGCTTCAGCACTCAGTGGCCCTGCTTTGTGAGTTTGCATGATCCTAAACACTTCTTGCTTCTAGACACTTCCATTTTACAATAATAGCACTTACAGTTGTCCAGGGCAGATCTAGCAGGACAGAAGTTTTGCAAACTGACTTGAGGCGAAGGTGGCATCCTATGACAGTGCCACGTTAAAAGTCACTGAGCTCTTCGGTATCACCCATTCTACTGTCAACATTGGTCTGTGGAGATTGCATGTATACACCTGTGAGCAATGGGTGTGGCTCGAACACCCGAACTCAATAATAAGTAGGGATGTCCACATACTTTTGGCCATATAGTGTGGATATTTAAGGGCAAATTGAAGTGTGAATATATATATATATATATGTATATATATTTATAATTTTTTGTGATTGCAGGCTTCTGGAGGAAGCAGCTGGATCATATCTGTGCTCACCTGCGCAGCTACACGCAGAACAACAGTGAGTTCAGAGCCCTGATAGGAGAGCCCAGGATGGGAAGGGTGAGACAACTTTATTTCTAACACTAAACCATGGCTATTTCTGCCGCTTAATCCGCTCTTCTTTAATAATTCCTCTTCTTCTTTCTTAATTCTGTTTACTTGACTTGTAAAGAACGCGATCTAACAAAGCTGAACGCAGTGGAACAAAGCCGAAAATCGTAGATTTTTATTTCGTATGTGTCACAAACTACCTTTTTGAACAAGAAAACACATGAACAGGAATATAAGTCACACGTCAGTGGAGTTTTATTGTTACTCTAATAAACGAAAATAATAATAAGCATGAACTGACGCTGTATCCAACAACAACGGAGTCATTTGCGCATCTTTTATACAGCTAACTTGGTAGCACACAGAAAGCCTGTCAGGATCACAGCTCCTCTGATGGCAGATTGAAATGAGTTAAAGGGGGCGCCAGATTCTCAGAAGTTCATTTTGTTAGTTAAAGGGGAATTTCTGCTGTTTTATATGTTTCTATGTATAATAATAGAGAAGTGGAGCCAAAGTGAGGTTTGTTTTTAGACTGGGTGGTACATGATGCAGATCAGCCCACCCAAAACACTCTCTCTCTCTCTCTCTCTCTCTCTCTCACACACACACACACACATGCACAGTATTGCCTTTGTGCTAAATAACTTTTTCTAAAATGTTTGCTTTTTTGATGAAAAGGTTTCCATAACATATTGCTTAGTATCTTATAATTGACATGCTAACTAATAATAATATCTCATAATTACCACTTAGTATCTCATAATAATGATACTATGTCATAACTATGATGTCACAATAATGGGACTATATATCTCATAATTGTGATAGTTAATAATAATAGCTTACTGTGTCATAATACTGTCTTGCTGTCTCTTAGTAATGAGATCCTATCTCATAATTATGACTTAGTTTCTCATAATTATGATTTAGTATCTCAAAATCATAACTTATCTCAGAAATCTGATTTACTACCTCATAGTTATGACCTAATATCTCATAATTATGATTTTTTTATGTTATAAAAATGGGAACCATTTTTTTGCAGTTCTTGCTGCTGCTGTCCATCTTCACTGACCTTTGCCTCTATTGGTGCTTGGATGCCAAGCAATTTTAGAGAAAAAGTTCAATCAGGACAAAATTACAGATATAGATTTTCTGTATATCTGGGACGATTTCCATTTGCACCAGAGGGGGGCGACAAAGCCTCACAGCCTTTTCGCAACAAATTTTGCTGCCTAATATAAAACATTTATGCTTTGAAAATGTACCCATTAACACAGATGCTCACTAACACACTATTAATGAAAGAGTTTGATGTCATATGTAAGGACTGTTAAAGTTTCAAAACATACTATTCACCCCCCAGTCTATGCAGTGTGTAGGTGGAAAGTTGCAAAAACAGTCCATTTTGAATTGATTCATTTTTATGTCATTTAATCATATCCGCCTATTTATCCTACAGTAGTTCAGCCCTGCTCATTCACGCTGAAGTTATAAGGAGTGTTTCAGCACAGACGTTTTAAATGAGGCACAAAGCAGTGTAGCCAATCAGAATGGAGCTCATTTACATACATCTTTCTTAAAGGCACTTAAGAGTCAAGTCAAAGTTTATTTATATAGCATTTTTTTACAACAGGTGTTGTCACAAAGCAGCTTTACAGAAAAAAGGAGGTAAAGAGAGGTTGGGAAATGTAAAAATGACTTATGATTCTTTTTGGTATATAAAGTGACACAAACATCAAAAGGGGAAAAAAAGACTTTCTGTGTATCCAATACGGCTCATGTTGAGTTTTCTGTTCTCCAGCTGATTTCTGCTGTCATTGAGGAGGACAGTTATGAAGTCAGCCTGCGTGTTAACTTCATTTCAGCTGCTCCACAGAGATCCAAGGTAAGGAACCACAGTCATTTAGAGCCTAAGCAAAAGTTTTAGTCAAGGTTGCCAGATTGAGCATTATTGTATCTAAAAGAACAGAAAAAAGTAAAAACTCACCAATTCGCATGAAAACTAAAATGTCCGAAAAGCATTTCAACTATACTATTAAGTAATACATGTAAACCAGCATTGTGTCAGTAATAAAGCGCTAAGTATGGCTGAATGTTCTGCATGTAAAATTTGCAGATGTCGTCATTAGATGGCGCTCTCTTGTGTGTTCACCGTCACCAGAGAACTTGTAGAGAGGAGAATAACCACTCTGATGTTTTCTGGGTTTCTCAAATGCTAGAGGGCGCTCCTGAGCGAGTCCAAAATAAATGGGTTAATATGGAGCATTTGAGCAAAAATTTTGTTTTTAAATGCTTAAACATTTTAAATGTAAAAGAATACAATCATTTCCTGAACACTGAATAGCATAAAACATTTTAACACCGCTGTCATATTTTTAAGTGCTTTTAAACTCAAGCTATAGGAGTTTAAAACGGCACTCCATGACGTTTGTGAGCGCGAACAGCCAATGAGCTGCTCCGCTCACCAACCAATCAGCACTCACTAGCAGTAATGCCCGCCTTCTGCTGCCCAAAACCCATTTGCTGTAGAAAAAAGGAAACACACAGGAAAAGTTTTCTTTGTTTTTTAAGTGAAGTACAAACTTCTGCTTTCTAAAATTAAAGTGAAGTTCTGGGCGAGTGATTAGAAACTGTTTAAACTTTTCATTTTTAGCTGCTTAGCTCACTTGCAGGCTCCCTCTGGTGTTTTACAATCCTGTTTTTGATATAACGGGGGAAATAGGAAGAGGCCAGAACTGGCTCTGCTGTCACTAGCTAACATGTTGGCCACACTGCACTGAAACAATAGAATATGATATCTGTAATAAAGCTCAGTACTAATCACTTTGCTCAAAATTGCTACCAGTAAAAGAAAACAAGTAGAAGTTGATTTGCATAACACAAATGATCATGCTAAGTGGTCACCACCCTGAAAGCACAGACCAGCACGACTGGTCACTAGCAAAACCAGCATGTGTTGTGTTTTGAATGCTGGTATGCTGGTCAGCAGCAATGGAAGTTAATACTGTGGCGTCCCACTACTTTGCTCCTATAGAAGAGACGTTTATTGTAGTTGTGGATGTTAGTTTAACATGTGTTTTAGTGTTGTGTGTGCTTTATTGTGCTGGGCTGTGGGGTTAGTTAGTTTAACGTCTGCCATAGAGAGGAATCCTATGGCTAAAAGTGACCTTAAGTGCTCTCCCGCTGTGTTGATTAGGACCGGGCAGTGGTTTTCTCTCACTGCCTGTTTAATAAAAGAGCGCCTGCCCGCATGCACAATGCTCTTCTTTGCCAAGACGTGACAGATATGCTGATCACCAGCAAAACCAGTATATGTTGTGTTTTGGATGCTGGTGTGCTGGTCAACCAGCATGACCATACTGGGTGACTAGATAAAAAAAGCACCAGACCAGCCCCAGACCAGCACTAGACCAGCATTAAACCAGCATAAACCAGCTTAGACCAGCATGGAATGCATGATTCATTGGTTGTTAGCAATGTTAGCACATTAGCGTTGCTCAGGATTCCAAAGTGATTTGTTGTTCTGGAGACACTGCAAATACTATGAAAAGGCTAAAGCTGTACTTAACTAAAAGTACTTCACTGAAACACTGACTAAAGTGGGAATGAAAGTAGCCTTAAGTGAGTAAAAATGTATGTGGTTCAGCGATTCCTCAAGTACTGATCTAGAACTGCAGAACTTCTTAGTACATCCAGCAGCTATCAGCACAGGAACCGAAGTTTGTTAGCTGGTTATTAGCTACACTGAAGCTATTCTTCTGTTTGTTTTTTAGCCTAAAATAAAATGCTAAAGCTCCAAAGTGAGAGGCTCGAGTTACAGCAGAGCAGTAAGAATGAAAATAAGTAAATGCACTGATCAGAGAAGCACATGTCCATCAAACGTCTGCTAAACTGAGTAAGTATAACTACCCACCTGTGACTGTTATATGTAAAGTGTGCTGTTTTCTATGAGCAGACGTTTCCGGGAGGACATCTGAACGGATCTGTGTCTGAGATACACAACCTCAGCGCTGTTACAGAGGGCGGAAGCAACTTAACAACAGGCCTGACCAGTCTAGGTACACATCCACTCACCCGTACAGTATGAAGAAGTTTGATCAAATGACATTTCGTTGATATTCTATGTGAAAATAAGTGAACACGTCATCTGCAGAGAACACACTTTAATGCACAATTATACACAGATAATTTCACATAAAATGTGAATTATATATTTAATATTTTATGTTTTAGTTTTTCCAGTATGAAAAGTTATGCTCTAAACTTGGCAGAAAAAAATGCCAGATTTACGTTTGTTCCCTGAAGGGGGTGTGGTAACTTGTTTTCACTTAAAAAATATCCGAAACATCTAATTTGACTAGGGGTGTCCAAACTTTTGCATACGGCTGTATACATATATGTTCCACACTCAGACCTCATGTTGTTTTCCATATTTCTGACTGGTGTATGTCTGCGGTCAGTGAGTGAGAATGGGACAGCAACACCAGGGACAAGCACTAAGAACCAGAGAAAGAGCCGCGCTTCAGCCATAGGAGAGCAACCACCGGTCAGTATTCTTCACACAGATTTGTTTTGTTTTTATACAATGGAAGGACATGTGTTCTTACATATGTCCCATAACTGTTATACAGTAAGTACCTGTAAGAAATAATAATATATCCTATATTTGTTTATATATATATATATATATATATATCGCTGTTGTCGAAAGAAAACCTCGTATATATATACATACAGGGAGATTCACTCGAAAGAGGCCCCGAATATTCTGTTCATATACTGAGGAGCTTATTGCACGTTGTTTTGTTCAAATTGCTTCGTCCTAGCGAGAGTTATTACAGAATATTCGAGAGTTACCTGCATGTAATATTCTTTAGATGTATTAATCACAATACTGTACAGAGTCCATTCTTCATTTATTTCATTGAAAGTCAAAATGTCCAATAATGTCCAGTACAAGTTATTCATTTTTTCAGTTCTGAGGAGATTAGATTAAAGCAAAAGAAGTGAAAAATTTGAGTTTAGAATTGCTATTGTATGGTTGTTGTCTCCAATAGGAGTCCAAAAACAGCCTGCTGCTAAAGGAGGTGGGGCCAGAGGGGCGGGGCCGAATCTCAGTGGTGCAGCAGCTATTGGATGAGGTGAAACAACAATAATACTATTAATCATAATTATTAAAAACAATATTTTTATTTTTGAATATAAAATCTTGAATCAAATTTTATTAAGAGGCACAGATCAGGAATTTTACAGCCAATTGCAATTTTTGCCTGATTTTTATTATTAGGTCGTAGAGAATTACACACCTGTGTTTGTGTTTGTGTTTCCAGGGTGCCGACCCATCATGCCTAGGCAGCGATAGACGCCCTGCTCTGGTTTCCGCAGTGATTAACGGGCATCATGATGTCATTCCCATCCTGGTGCAGAAAGATGCGGACGTCGACCAGCAGTCTGGACCGTGAGTTTCAAACATTACACGGTCAGAAATGTTACGTTAACTATGCACATATAACTGTGTTCACACTGCAGACTTGAATCTGAATTTATTACCTAGATGTAACACAGATGTGAATTTCACAGATGTGAATAGTCACATTGAAATTCATGCAGTTTTTTTTATTTTCAAAGCAGTCATTTAAACGTGGCTGTTAACCTTCATTTACATTCAGGCAAATTATTAAAAAAAAGTATAAATGTGTTTGTTTCAGGTTGAATAACACAGCCCTGCATGAGGCTGCAGCTCTGGGGAACGAAGGCCTGCAAAGTGCTGAGATCCTGCTTGGGTGAGAGGCACTGAGACTACTTCACTACAATAAAGACACAGTTTGGCAGAAAAAAAACAAACACAGTTTTTTTCTTACTCCAGATGTAGTCGATCAGTCAAAACAGGTTCACAGTGGTTCCCAACTCTGGCCCTGGAGTACCAGCTGCCCTGTATATTTTAGTATTTTTATATTTATTTTTATACTCAGAACCATCAGCCAACTGTGTTTGCACACTGTGGAATTAGACCTCCGCATTTAACCCATCCGTGCAGTGAAACACTTACATGCACACTAGTGAACACACACTAGGGGGCAGTGAGCACACTTGCCCGGAGCGGTGGGCAGCCCTATCCACGGCGCCCGGGGAGCAGTTAGGTTAGGTGCCTTGCTCAAGGGCACTTCAGTGGGATCGAACCGGCCACAAGGCTGGTTCCCTAACCTTCAACCCACGACTGTCCCAGTGTTGATCCAACTGACCCATTTCACCTCCTCCAGCTAAACTCAGACTTGCCAACCTGCACGCATTTTGACCTCAAAGTATGCTGCTACAATTTGTCGCTCTAAACTACCAGCCTGCCTTCTGCCTGATGAACGCTGGGATAGGCTCCAGCACCCCCCCATGACCCAGAAGCAATTCACACAGCAGTAATTAGCAGTTTTCAGTACTTAGCTACATTAGCCTGACTAGACAAGCAGACTTCAGACACCAAACAAGTCTCAGCTGATTGACTTCATTTGGGGTATGAGAGGAAAAACGTAGCATAAGTTTGTAGTAAACTATCACTTTAACAGAAGCCCAATCCTGCACACTGTATTGTTCAGCTTTAATCAAATACTTCATGAGTTGGAGAATGAAGATCAGCAGCCAGTTGCACCAGCTGAACGCAAGTTCAGTCGTGGCCTAGTTTAAACGTAAACTGCCCTACGATCAAGTTTAAGCTAATCGAATTTAACCGGTTGCACCAAGTAACATAGTTTCAACGTAGCTTTAAGTTATAACTTAAAATTTACAAATACCCTACAGTCGGTTTAAGTTCTGCTGTAAAAAATCAGTTCAAATGGCTGGTCAGTTTGACCGATGGTGTTGGCAACCAGTTCTGCAGGATAGATTACACCCATTTTCTTTGACTGTAGCCGCAGATTTACACAACACAGACTGTGTCCCTAGTTTTAAACTAACTACTCTCAACCTAAGGTTTAGGATGGACTTCACACCCCAACTTGTGATCGAACTTGGGCAACTGGCTGCTGAGCAGGAAACATTAAACTGTCTTCACGGGGTTTACTTTGGTTTACTGAGTCAGATGAAGTTGTCATCGGCCCTCATTGCTCGCTAGCAGCCCAACACAAAGAGAGCCAGCAGTTACAGGGGAAAATATATTGTTATAATTATTAAAAATACCCAAGTTGCTCTCCGTTCCACTGGTAATGGAATGGCCATTAGGGAAACCGCAGAAAGATGCTGCATTAGAAGCTGCTGCCTTCACTGAATAACTTAAGCTTTGTGGTAAAGCTTGCTGAATGTTGCCGCCTCCTGATGTGCTTACAGGTGCAACGCGAGTTTGAGGAAGCTGAACGCTGAGGGTCAGACGCCGTACGACGTAGCAGAATTAACCGGCTGCAGCTCAATGATCTCCCTGCTGACAGCTCACAGGGGGCGGGGCCTAAACCAAACCCTCTCCAACTCCAGAAGCACCTCTGGACTCGACACGTTCTCATAGCGTGTTTGCACAGCCAAATGAAATGCTGACATCTGATTGGACTTATGGATTCAGGGATACTGTTAGCATATGTGAATTAGCTGAAAACACTGAGGCTCTACACCTCCCTGTGTTTACATTCACTGTCCATTTTATCAGCTCCACTGACCATATATGAGCACTTTGTAGATCTAATATTACAGACTGTAGTCCATCTGTTTCTCTGCATACTTTGTTAGCCCCTGTTCTTCAGGACCACCACAGAGCAGGTAGTATTTGGGTGGTGGATCATTCTCAGCACTGCAGTGACACTGACGTGGTGGTGGTGCGTTAGTGTGTGTTGTGCTGGTCTGAGAGGATCAGACACAGCAGTGCTGCTGGAGTTTTTCATCCTCTAATCCATCAGTGGTCACAGGACGCTGTTGGCTGGATATTTTTGGTTGGTGGACTATTCTCAGTCCAGCAGCGACACTAAGGTGTTGAAAAACTCCAGCAGCACTGCTGTGTCTGATCCACTCAGACCAGCGCAACACACACTAACACACCACGTCAGTGTTACTGCAGTGTTGAGAATGATCCACCACCCAAATAGTACCTGCTCTGTGGTGGTCCTGTGGGGGTCCTGACCATTGAAGAACAGGGGCTAATAAAGTATCAGAGAAACAGATGGACTACAGTCTGTAATTGTAGAACTACAAAGTGCACCTATATAGTAAGTGGAGCTGATAAATGGGACAATGAGTGTAGAGATAAAGTGTAATGAATGAAGTATTCAGTGTATATGAATAATCCAAAATAATCTGACTGATTGCTGTTTCAATTTGGAGATCAGATTACAACATTATAAAAGATGAGATTAATCAGATTATTACGTTTTGTACAGAGTCTAATTCTGAAATTAGATTTGCCTTTCAAGCCCATTTTCTTTTTGTCCATATTTAATCTGAATTGTAATTGTGTGATTCGCATGATTAGCAGTAAAGCATGCAAATGGCGTCAGATCTGATTCATTGCATTCACATGGCAAGGAAGAGATCAGATACCTGCTGGTTAGGTGGGGAAAAAAACAATACAACCTCAACCTGTCAGTGTAGCCTAACAGTATGGAGGAGATGAAGTTCAATTGGACTAATATGTAACACAGTTCTGATATACAGTAGATGCCAGAGTGCCTTCAACATATGCAATAAAACAGGAAATCAGCATCTTATTAAACTTTAAAAGGATCCATAGTCTACATTTTTCAACTTATGCATTTGTCATAATTCATTTTGCATGACCATTTTCCAACCTCTCTTTATCCCTCAGAGTTAAACAGGGTTGTGTTACTGATATAGAGTCTTAAACAGCCCTGTCGAGTGATGTTCTGTTGACTCTCGAAGCGAAAATAAGTTCACGAATCCCCTCAGAAGAAAACCTTTCCTGCATCCTCACCACAAAATTCAGCAACAGTGTGCAAAGGAACATCTAAACAAGCCTAATGCATTTTGGAAACAAGTGGACTGATGAAGTTAAACCAGACCTTTTTGGCTGCAATGAGCAAAGTTATGTTTAGAGAAAAAAAGGGTGCAGAAGTTCATGAACAGAACACCTCTCCAACTGTTAAGCACAGGGTTGTATTGATCATGCTTTGGGCTTGTATTGCAGTCAGTGGAATGGGGAACTTTTCACTTGTGAAGGGAAAGAATGGATTTAATTAAATACCAGCAAATTCTGGAGGCAAATATCACACCATCTGTGAAACGGGATAGGATAATGATCCTAAACACACCTCAAAATCCACAACGAACTACCTCAAGAGGTGCAAGCTGAAGGTTTTGCCATGACCCTCACTGTGGATAGACCTCAAAAGAGTAGTGCATGCAAGACGGCTCAAGAATCTCACAGAACTAGAAAACTTTTGTTAGGTAGGAGGGGCAAAAATCCCCCAAACAAGGATTTAAATACTCTTAGCTGGCTACAAAAAGCGTTTACAAGTTGTGAAAATTGTAAAAGAGAGTGTTAAGAAGTACTGGTCATGCTTTGAGCCATTTTCCTTTTTTGTTATTTTAAAAATATGGAAATAAAAAAAGCCATCTTCCAAGAAATATGCTCTTCAGACATCTGGTTCCTGTCACCACCACTGTGAACAATTCGGTCCATGTAAATTTCTATAGAATGGAGCATTTCACATTAAACCACACTGAATGAATTTGTTTACATCTGAATAATGTAGACATTTTGAAAAGCAGATGGAATTCCCCTTTAATATATTCTGATTGTTTTCTTACGAAAACAAAAAATGATGTCTTTCTCTGTGTAACTCAAAAGAGAGAGAATCGTTTAGATCATTATGAACTTGTGTGGTGATACGTGAATTTAATCTTATTGTGTACACAAAAACAATAACAAAAAATATTACACATTTTTGCTTTGTAAATAAGAAGCCCTGCTAGAATGACTTCTGGTTTACAGTAAATAAAAAGAACAATGATCACTAAACATGGAAGCCTGATCCTTCATTCAACTGGAGGAGGCCTTACCATATTTCACTGTAATGAGGTTTAGCTTAAAGGAGAATTCCACCATTTTTTAAACAAAATCTGCATAATTTAGTCATTAAGACGTAAATGAAGTCATTCAGAGTGGTCTGATGTGAAATAGTATGTGTACAGAAACTTCCTGAGATATATTTACAGTGGTGGTCATCATGTCTATAACACAAACATAGCCATTTTATTTACAATCCAAAATGACCAGTGAACCTACAAACATCTATGCAAAATTTTTAAAAATGCATTTTTCTTGGGATCCTGCAGGAACCTCTTTGCCATGAACAGATATAAATCATGAATAGATCTGAAGTTTCTGAAGTTTCTCTAGAACAAACCATTTCACACCAAAACACTTTGTTTACTTCTCAACAGTTTAATTATGCAGACATTCTGAAAAAATGGAGGAATTTCCCTTAAGAAGGTAACAGTTCTGTTGCTGCATTCAACTGAACCAGCAGCCTGTTAACCAGTGTATTCAGTTTTATAGTGAAACACCCCAAGTGGGGTCGACAGCGATGCCAGTGGCAGTCTAATGATGGACAAACGAGGGGAGGAAAGTATGGAAATAGTCCATCTGAATTATCTGTGATAGTACAACTTTGTGACACTTTCAGTACACCAAAAAAAAATAATAATTATATTGTTGAACGGAGCAATTTTGGGCACAAACTCCCTCACCAGCAACATACAAATACAACGAAACATACAGCACATTTAAATGACAGCACACACTTACTGAAACAAACACTATGTTCTCTCCCTGTCAGTGTCCCCAAATTCACTGTAAAAGGTCACACTTGAAGCCCACAGGGCCAGTTTCTTGGTCATACACAGTCACTTTTTTGTGCTCCATGCTCCAACACATGGCGTTTTAAATGAGGCTGAAGTGCTGAATGCCACCTTTAGTTCAAGGGTATTTACATCTATATAGGACAGGGCCCAACTGATGGGAAAATTCTGTGGTCAACACTGATTTCAAGGGGCAAAACGTTCAAATAAATTGGCCGATATAATTTTATATTCTTAAAATTTAATTTATACTTATTCTCAGTTTTCACCTGACACTTTTTAAACTCTAATAAACAGCATAAATTTGCTTCAATAAAACTGTAGCACGAGGGGAGCTGGGGGGTGGAGCTACCCATAATTCTTTGCATTTTTGATGTTTGCTAACTCTCTTATATTAGGCTACGTTCACATTACCAGGTTAAAGTGGCACAAATCAGATTTTTTGCCCTAATGTGACTCAGATCTGATGTTTTCAGGGCTGTGTGGACAAATCTGATCTTTTAAAATCCGACCTGAGTCGCTGTCATATGTGGTCCTAGATCGGATACGTATCCGACTCATGGCCATGTGACCTTAATGTGACGCTCAGATCGGAATTCATGTGCTTTTTTTTCCACTGCACGTGACCATCATTCAGCGTTACCATGGCAGCAGCGCCGAACAGAAGTTAAAGCCTGTAAACGGTGGAAAAGCAGCTCATCTCACCTTTTTCTCCTTCGTCTCGCTCTAATAATGAAGCTGAGAGCTGATCAGAGTTAATGATCTTCTCAGTGAAGCTCGTTCTGCTTGTTAGTTTGTGCTGATGATGAACGTGATTCATTCACGTGACGTTACTGAGTAGGATGTGCCATGAGGGTCATTTCAGGACACCAGTTCATCACATTAATGACAGATTTGAATCATCTACCTAAACAAGTGTGAACCATCATGTCAGAGAGATCAGATTTGTGCAAAAAATCGGATTTGATCAACAAGGCTTGTAATGTGAACAGAGCCTTACTGATTTTGCAATTAGTAAAAAATGGTGATGTGATGTTATTCTCATGCTAAAGGCTGGGTCATGTTTCTGTTATTCCAAAGAATACGTAAGTACTGTTAACATACATGCAATACAATTGTCAATATTGCTCAAACGACATAGAAATCACCATCCTATAGAGATGTAAACATCCTGGACTTAAAGCTGACATTCTGCACTTTAAACTCATTCTCACTGTTTCATTTGAAAGCTGGTGTGCTGGAACACAAAGCCAAAACAAATACCGAGCTGCTGTCCAGTACTACTGGCTTGCACTTATATAGGCAAAAAACGAACGGAAAGTCAGCGGACAGATGTCGTTTACTCTGATGTCTCAGCTTTTGAACCTTTCTGTCCAGTCGGTGAAGATCGGTGAATACAGCCCATGCCTGGTTGTCCAATCACAAGTGACGGGCAGCTCAGCGCCGTAGTCTCAGGAAGAAGGCGTGGCGACACTCTTTGCTGTCCACTGGGTAATATTTGTCGTAGAAGTCCAGGATGTACTCCTCCGTCTTAAAGCCAAACTTCTGGTAGAGCAGCATGGCTGGGTTACTGGCCGACACATGCAGAGTCACGTCCTTCCCCATACACGTCTATAGAGAGAGAGTGTAGAAACGAGGAGATGGGTTTAATGCTGTAGCTGATACTTGTATACAGAATGCATTTTTTAGATGTTTTAATGAATATTTCTCATCTATGGGAACAAGAAATTTATAAATGATAATATACTATAATTTACAGTAGAGATGTAATTGATTAGCCAATTAACTGTTGAGCAAAAGCTCGACCAAAGCTTTCGGTTAAAAAGTTCATTTAATTTACAATAAACAGTCAGTATTCGAATAAGTGCCTTTTGAGGACTGATCTCTGCTCATATGGATGTGTTGGTATTTTTAACAATAATGACTAGAAGGTTCAGCCACATAACACAGTGCTACGCTAGGCTACAACAAACTTTTTTTTGTTTTTTTTAATGTCATGCTGTTTCTGTTGAGTGTAGACTTAAGCTATAGCCTGCAAATGTGTTTAGCTAACAGTTAGCCTTTGTATTTAGTCTCATAACAACAAAGCTGAAAAGCTGTGAGCCACCGTCTTCCTGTTGACTGCCATTTAACTATGTGTGTGAACTTCAAGCTTGCCCCAGTCAGGCCATATGTTCATTAACGTGGGCTAATATGTGGTACGTATAAGTAAACAGACTACATTACGTTACTGTTGTATCATTCAATACAGCCTGAAGCCTTGTTTATATAAAACACAGTGCCGAGTTTGATGTTTTAACTTCAATGTACACCGATCAGGCATAACATTATGACCACCTCCTTGTTTCTACGCTCATTGTCCATTTTATCAGCTCCACTTACTATATAGGTGCACTTTGTAGTTCTACAGTTACAGACTGTAGTCCATCTGTTTCTCTGCATACTTTGTTAGAGTGCTGGACGACTTTCATGATTAATTCGGTTAATTCGAATGAACGTTTTCACACGATGTTAGAAATGTGACAATCGAGTTTGTACATGTTTACGTTGCTTGTACTTTAATTAAAATACCAACAAAAACTATTCAAATTTTCAAGCTGTACGAAAAACGCATCTTAAATTAACGCGGTTTCGTGTTGCCAGTCGCGGATGCTCCAGGTCGCTATGATATTTTATGATAAGTTTCATGACTGCTGGAAAACGATACTTTCACTGTTCTAACTATGGCGACGTTTCAGTTCAGAATGCTGCCACCATTTAAGGTGGAACGGGAAAATTCGAATATGAAGCTGGTGATCAGAAAGCCAACTTCGGCCTCGTCCTCCTGTGAAACTAAGATGGCCTGTATGTTTTGGTGCTCATTACTAGTTAGTATTGCCGAATAACAGACTTAGCATCTTACATTTTGGAGATATTCTTTGTTTATTTAACAAACGCGCGTTTCACACTGAAATATTAGTGTGTGCGCCGAAGCTCCTCAAAGTTGTCCACGTTTGTGTAATGGCGCGCCTCTTTTTTATCGACCAATCAGAGGCTCTGTCGTGTTGCGTCTTCGTCCGCGGAGTTCGCCCAGCTGCCATGTGCGCAACGTCTGCGGTCGTTCGTTTTCTCCGAAATTACGGCACATTGTCTCCGCAAGACGTCTGCTGAGGCCTTTACCTTTCAAATGGCGTCTCTCAGGCCTGAATCAGTAGATAGGCCTGTGTTCCTTTCAAGAAACCTGTAAGAACTTTGTGGTTTGCACTTTTCTTAATATAAGGTCATACTTGCACATTATTTAAAGTGAGAGTTGCTTGTGAGCTTTAAGGAAGCTGCTTGCTCCTTCGTAAGAGAATATTACTAATGAAAATGATTCATGTGTTAATTATTGTAATTTTTTTGGTACAAATTTTGTTGTGCTTGCACAGTCCCTTGAAAGGATATTTAATTTAATAATTATAGGTGGTATTTTTGCACTTCTGCAGTCTTTTAAAGTGCAAAAAAGAAAGTCTTTTTCCTCTGGCATTATGCAAGAACCCCCCCAAAAAAAAAATAAAAAATTTGCAATTGGAATCGAGAATCGTTAATAAATTTGAAAATAATCGAGATTTTGTTTTTTGGCAATATCGCCCAGCCCTACTTGGCTAGCCCCCTTTTACCCTGTTCTTCAGTGGTCAAGACCCCCATGGACCCTCACAGAGCAGGTACTATTTGGGTGGTGGATCATTCTCAGCACTGCAGTAACACTGACATGGTGGTGGTGTGTTAGTGTGTGTTGCGCTGGTGTGTTTTAAACACCTCAGTGTTACTGCTGGACTGAGAATAGTCCACCAACCAAAAATATCCAGCCAACAGCGTCCTGTGCGCAGCGTCCTGTGACCACTGACAAAGGACTAGAGGATGACCAACACAAACTGTGCAGCAGCAGATGAGCTATCGCCTTTGACTTTACATCTACAAGGTGGACTGACAAGGCAGGAGTGTCTAATAGAGTGGACAGTGAGTGGACACAGTGTTTAAAAACTCCAGCAGCACTGCTGTGTCTGATCCACTCGTACCAGCACAACACACACTAACACACCACCACCACGTCAGTGTTACTGCAGTGCTGAGAATGATCCACCACCCAAATAGTACCTGCTCTGTGAGGGTCCATGGGGGTCCTGACCACTGAAGAACAGGGTAAAAGGGGGCTAACAAAGTATCAGAGAAACAGATGGACTACAGTCTGTAACTGTAGAACTACAAAGTGCACCTATATAGTAAGTGGAGCTGATAAAATGGACAATGAGCGTAGAAACAAGGAGGTGGTCAAAATGTTATGCCTGATCTGTGTATGTTAATGTAATGAGATTTTATCCCAAGTCATTTTGGATCTTTACTATCCCCTCATCGTAAAATGTTCACAAAATGTAAATATCAGCTGGTGTTTTCAATTGGTGTAAATAAACAACTAAAACAACAAAAATGGAAAGGCTCAGAGATGACGGCAACTAAAAATAATTAATTATGTAGTTATTACTATAAAATGCAAGAAGAATTTCTTAACATCAATTAATTTAATCAAAACTAATGCAAACAGAATTTAAAAAACAATAACTACACTTTTAAGTGGTGAAGAGCCAATATCATGTAAAAAATGACTTTACCTTGCTTTATTAAAGGGGTTTGAAGTGATACCTGTACATTATTAATGTTTCAAAATGTGCTATTCACTCCCCAGTCCTTACAGTCAGTATATGGAATCTATTTCACACAAACCAACTCATTTACATATATCCACCTGTTCTGCACACAGCTGCCCATTCACACTGAAGATACAGGGAGTGTTTTAGCTCTGAGTGCTTTCTGAATGAGGCCTAATACAAAGCAGCCAATCAGAAAAGAGCTCACTTATCTTGTATGAGTCTTAAAGGTACAGCAACAAAAACTGAGTTTAATTCTAAGGGGTAAAAAGAGGTTGGAAAATGGTCATTTTAAAATGAATTATGAATTATTTCTGGTGCATTAAACCCACAAAAATGTCCTTAGTGGACCTCAAAAAAATAAAACAAGAAAAATGTAGGATGTAATTCTTTAAAAAATGTGTTGACCCTCATGTTTTCATTATTATTGTTTGTTCACCTTTTTTCTTTTTTTTTTTTGGATTTTTACCCAATTTTCTCCCTAATTTAGTCGTTTCCAATTCTACCTGCTAGTTAGGACTCCCCCATTCACACGATACTATCAATGCTAGGAGGGTGAAGGCCAACACAGGCTTCCTCCGAGACCTGTGAAGCCAGCCACTCACTAGGACTCCCGGCTACGGATGGCTGTAGCATCACCAGGGATGGAACTCGCGATCTCCTGATGATAGGGCCAACGCTTAGGCGGCTGCGCCACCCGGGAGCCCACCTTTTTGTTCTGTTACGTTATTTCCTGTACGTCTCACCTGAATGAGATGGTAGATCATGAAGGTGGCGATGCCGGCCCTCCTCCACTCTGGATGCACCAGCAGGAAGGAGATATAAGCCTCGTTGTATTTCACGTCTGGCACCATGAAGCCAAAACCGATTACCACCTTCTTATAAAGCACCACCACACTGAAGTCTGGGTACTGCAGGCACTCGGACAGATCCACACCTGAAAACACACAGCACCCACACACCCCACAGAGACGCAGGGTGAAAATGACGTTTATATTAGGGTCGGTGAATATGGCAAAAATGTAACATCACAATACTTAAAAGCATTTTCACAATACACATCAGGATATTTAGTTTTTTGGAGTTCTATAAGTTGGAACAGACAAACTAGAACCAGTAGTGCCACATTTAACAAACCCTATCAAAAACTATGGATACAATAAATTCTATGAACAATGAAATATGTTTCATCGACTACAACAAAGCTTTTGACTGTTTTGATCATGCAATTTACTAAATGTCCTCAGGAAAATGGGAATACTACCTCATGTCATTGTTCTAATGAGGAACCTCTACACTCATGAACAAGTTACAGCCATGACAGAACAGGGCCAACAGACTCACAGCGGCAAAGGAGTTCGACAAGGCTGCCCACTGTCACCGTAGTTATTTAACCTGTACGCTGTACATATATTAAGTAAAACAGGACTGGAGGAAGATTCAAAACTGGTGGAAGGAAACAAAACCAAGTCTTGCCTCTTACTCAAAGCCCAGATAACCAAAAGGAAGCTCTCTTATTTTGGACATATAAAAGCCAGTTCATTGAAAAAGACCATTGTGCTTGAAACAGTTGAAGGTAAAAGAAGAACAGGACGACCAGCAACAAGATAGACTGATACAATCGGAGGAATCATGACCAGGCTATGAAACCAAGCCACGTACTTGATGCCACTGCAACGTGATCAAAAACAGAAAGTTCGTGTCTACGTCGTCTGTGATGGAACAAGCCATGAATAAATGTTGTCACACACAGCTCTTTTAATCCTCTTTACATGCAGCATTTTTTAATTATAGCCAGAGTGTAGGTACAGCCAGGCCTGAAACATGGTCAAATGAAGCAGCACTCCAGCAGCTCAAAAGTCTGCTGCTTCATTTTACAGATCACAGGGACTCACCAGGCCAGAACATGTCGTGGCACATGGAGTTGACGGAGGGGATGTGGTTGGGCCGCACGTAGCAGTAGTCTATGGGCGCGTCAGGCTCCGGGACCCAGGACGAGTCGTTCCTGTGAGGGTATGCACGGATCTCTGCAAGCAAGCTCATCTTCAGCGGCTTCGTCTCATAGTCTCTCCTGCACACACATCAGAAAGAGAATAGGATCTTTAGACTTATTCATGAAGAGCACAAATTCATACAGTTTTTGCACAGACAGGGGCTGGGGACTGTTTGCACATGGTTAAGGGCTGTGATGACAGAATCTCACAGACTGTGCCGTATCAGAGTGCTGTGATTAGACTGGCCAAATAAAGTGTTTAAAGTCCAAGTGCTTGAATTACACTTACCCACATGCCTCATATCAGTCGATAAGATTGCTACGACCAAAGAAACCCACAAATGTGAGGATTTTCTCCATAAAAATTACGATAACCATCATATTATCTTAGTTTAATGTCGTTTCAGTGTATTATGGTCATTTTCTTCATAACAAGCATAAAAAATCGCTAATAGCATGCTAATGTCTCGGTAGCTAACTAGCTAACTTTCCCATTCCACCTTAAATAGTCCAGCAGTTCTGATGCCTGAAGCGCCAGAATGTAACTGCTGCTCCATTTAAGGTGGAATGGGAAAATTCAAAAAAGAAGCTGGTGAATATCTGACTTCAGCTTCATATCACTGAAGAATTAGCGGTGGGCGATAATAAATAATTGTCACACCCCGCTCTTTGAAGTCATATGATTCCCTAAATGTAACTAAAGCCCAGCAGTGAGGTGCTGAACTTTACCCTTCTCTGCTATCACTGAAGACGGGCCGGGTCGCCTACAGAGCAACGCTAGTAGCTGTTCATGAAGTAACGTTTTTTTTTTTTTTATTTGAGGGTCCCATTTCGTAGGGCAAGATTTCAACCACTACCCCTTGTAACTCAGTTCCAAGGGAATAGGGTGACACTCGAAAACAAGGGGTAGGGGTAAAAAGAAGAAATGGGATTGGGCCTTAGAATAAATAAAAGGGCAGAAAGACGCTCTCTGCTCACTTCTTTCCTGGACTTGAGAGGTTCAGTATTCATGGCTGCCAAAAAATCAACATCTGGTTTATTTCACTGCAAAAGTTGGGAAAATTGGACTCCTGGCCAAACGTTCTGCTTACCGCTGTGGACAGCGAAACGATGCTGCTAGCGCTGGTGGAATTTTCTGCTGCAGAAAACAATGGAATGTCTGGTTTGCTGCTGTCCATTTACCACCATGTAAAATCAGCATTAGTCTCCTGGGTTTGGGGTTGAATGTGTGAATACTGTCAAAAATATTTATTTGTTTTTTTGGAAACACTTTACTGTAGAGTTCTCTTCATAAAATTACATGACACCTACATAAGCTTGTCATGACAACTGGCATAACTCTACATAAACATTTATACATGCTTATTCTAACAGACCTCATCTGTCCTCAAGGCTACTGTAGTCAACTTCAATTCAAATTCACAGATGTAACCAATACAGTAATCGACTCTTATTGGAGCACATACACACACACACACACACACACACACACACACACATCATCTAAACCGCTTATCCTTCTGGGTCGCGGTTCTTATTGGAACATGCATTTATAAACATTTATGTAGGGTTATGCTGGTTGTCATGACTTAAGCTTATGCAGGTGTCATGCAGCCATATGAACAGTACCCTAAAGTAAGGTCTTAACAGAGCAGATCGGATATTTATAGGTAGCTGTTATGAGCGGGAAGGTTGACACCACACCACGCATCACACTTAATGTACAGACTAAGGAAACTAGCACTTCTTTTTGGAGGAGAAATACACGGGAGAAAAGAAAACGCCTAGCTGGTTTTATTCTTCCTACTCAGCCCATGTGAACATTGAACAACGTTAGCAAGTGCTTCACAACCAGTAAGCATGGTGAACATATTGTATCACTGTATTTCTACATTAAAGTAAACTACTAACCAAGCTACAGAGCTGTGGGTGCTCAATCTGTTTCTCAAGGTCTTTTATGAAACCTCAATGATCACAATATAGAGGGCGGTAAACGTGCTAGTGAATTATTAAGCATCTTTGAGCAGAAAATTCATGTAGTTTATCCGTTTAAGTTGAAAATGTCTGTTAAACTCGATCTGTGAAGATCCACAGCAGAAAAAACACAAACCACTGCGAAAAATGTGATCAGCTATAGAATGAATGGAGCCCATAGAATCCACATCCTGCTTTTAATTTAACTGAATAATTGAACACTTTTCACATAGTCATATAGACATTAAATAGCTTCATCAAATATTGCACTGTGTCCATATCACCTCAAGCATATCGTTGCTGTCCAAAGAAAAACAAGTGTCTTCAAAATGGTAGTTTTACAGAGGAGGGCAAAAACATTCGTAACTTTTTATCTAGGTTTACATTTACATTTATGACATTTGGCAGAAACTCTTATCCAGGGTTACTTACAGTTTGATTATTTTTTACACAGGCAGGCGAAGGTAGTGTTAGGAGTCTTGCCCAAGGACTCTTATTGGTATAATGTAGGGTGCTTACCCAGGCGGGGGTTGAACCCCAGTCTACAGCGTAGTGCTTACCCTGGTGGAGGGCAGTGGTGTTACCCACTACACTATACCAACCTAGGTTAATGTAAAGAGATTTTATTCCAAGCAGTTTTGGAGCATTTCTATTGGTCCATTCATCAAAACATTTTTACACAACGCAAAGGGGAGCTGCTGAACTCAAATGATGTAGAAAAATAACAAAGGAAAAAAAAAAAATGGAGATGCTTGGTGTTTTTGACAGAGACAATACGTGGAATAGAGATAACTTGCACTCTGTGAACATGTGTGTGTACCTTATGTAAGGTTTGAGAGTTCTGGACGTGTACGGACTCTTGATTCCTTGGTCTGCGCAGGCATCGGAGCCCATAAGTCTGTGCCAGAAGGAGACGTTGGACTGGTAGAAGCCCTTCCTGCTGGATGCCGTGACCTGCAGAGGAATACCGAATTGACACAAATAAAGGGGACATCACACAGCTAAAACAGTAGTGGCTAGACATGCATTTGTACTTTGTCCATTTTTATAGGTATCAGTATATTACAGGAGTGCCAGTAACCACATAAGCAAGTATAAGAAGAACAAGAATTTGGTCTTTTAACGATGAATCGTCTTTAGTATGACCAGCGACATGAACTAACAAGGGAAAAAATGGATTCAGGCTGACTTTAAACACTTCAAAAGCTTCTTTGTGTTGTGGTTTTTACCTGAAAGCGATCGAGTATACGCAGGTCCTGGCTGGTCGTCCTGTACTTGCCCGCCTCACGGGTGGCCACGCCGGCCTGCGCGCCATACACGCCCCCAACCAGGCTGAGGGCAGCGCTGACAGCCTGGTCCGCATCAAGCAGGGGGAGCCCTCGCTCGCGTTTAGCTTGCCGGACCAGGAGCTTGCGCCGGAGCCGCTTGGCCTGCGGGGTGACGGCTAGCGCTTGGGGGCAGGACTCCAACCTCCGCAGCAGCATACGCTCCTCATACAGGCCGAGGAGGGTGTAGCGGGGCCCGGACTCTGCCTTCTCTAGGCCTGTCCAAAATAAGCAAAGAAATGAATGCTGTAACTCGTTATCCGTACAGTGTGCTCATCTCCAAGCGTTTTCTCAAGATGCAACTTGAATGTTGAATAAAAATCTTTGAGTTTATGATGGTAATTTTTAAATGTGGTACTATTAGTGCACGGAGTATGTTTCAAAATATGGGGATGCTTATTGTGAAAATGTTTTAAAGTATCGTTATATTGCTGCCACATCGCCCACCCCTATCCACAGCCCCCGTTGCAGTACAGGTAACTTCTTTAGCCACATATTTTCCTTAATTTCTTCACATGTAAAAACTATATATGTAAAATCTAAATACATTCACAAAGCAAATCAAATTTCAAATTTCATTTCTGAGGCAGCCGACAGCCCTACCCTTCTCCTTCCTCCGCTCGCCGCCAGCAGAGGCCCGAGACCGCATGCCTTCGTCCTGGCCTTCTTCTTCCACCTCGCGGCCCCGCTCCTCGTCTTCACTCTCCGGCTCCTGTTTGATGAGTTCGGCAGGCCGCTGCTGCTTCTTTCTCACATAGAGTGCACCTGCTGCCAGGGGCATGCTGGGAGGGGGGACATACTCGATGCCTGGGTCGATCACGCCCTCTCCGTCCAGCTCCTCATCATCTGGAGCACAGAGTCAGACAAAAACAACTCAAACATTGTACCAGAGGCGGCCTAGGAGATTTTTTTCCGCTAATATGATACATATGGATATTGTGTTACATTCAAGTGCCTTTAAAGTTGAATTTAAGAAGATACAGAAAAAATGAGAAAACGCCCTCAGACCACAGAAGATCACAGTAATTAGTTAGATAAATTTGATAATTTGGGACCAATTTATTAAGAAGTTTATGTGCAAATATCTATAAAATGGAACCATGAACACTCAAAGAACCCTTTGCATGATTTAAGGAATCGTGCATCGTGAAAGGTTTTTTTTAGACTGAAAAGGGTTCTATATAGCACCAAAAAGCGTTCCACTATTGTTACGGGCCGAAAGCACACACAAAGCAAGAGCGTTTGCTGTTCGTGTTGCCTTTTGGCGTAATATAAACAGCTACATTGTCCGTTTATCTCATATAAACTTTATGTAGATGACATAAAGAGATCAACAATAAAAATTTTATAGCTGCCTTGACTGTCGCTGGCTTTCTCACTGGGTGATGTAGTGCTATATATAAAGGAGGAGATGCTGTGTTTTCACAACATTAACCTACTCAAGGGATCTCAGTCAGCCTGTCAATGAGTTAAAACTAGATTGATTGATTTGTTTATTAGCCTAGATTGTATATCACAGACATTGCATTTCTTTACTGTTTCTGCATAGAAACTGCTAGCATGCTGCATGACACGCGTCAGAAATAGACCCAAAGGGTATTTTTGCACTTCATGCAAGGCTACATTGATTTATATAGAAGCGTATTGCGTGCGGCACTGCGCGGCACGTCATACAGTGTGGTTACTGCGTCTGGTCTGAAATGGGCTAAAGAAACGTTTTTTGATACTATATAAAACCCTTTTTCTAAGAGTATACTGTACAGGTGCACCCTATAGGTTTACAGTTACTGACTGTAACCCATCTGTTGTACTGGATGTGTAGCTTCAGGCCTGCTAATCCAGTACACAGCATCAGCACTACAAGCAGTGTTTGTAGGGTCTCACCGTGGAACAGCGCCTGAGGTGGCATAACATCAGGAATGAGGTCCGCCTCCGACAGCAGGCTGGGCGTAGCCGAGTGAGAAGCGGGCGTCCCCGGGGCCGAGAAATCAGGTGAGGGGGACGGAGAGGGAGACGTGAGGGGCGTCCTGTCTGACGAACTGAGCGAGGAGAAGTCGATGACCTCGCCCTTCTCCAGCTGCAGGTCAGGCCGTCGGCCACGGTTACCCATTTTGACGGGTGTGGAGGACGCACTGCGGTCCAGGAAGCCGGCAGCCTCTTTCTGCGCCCGCCGGATGTCCTTGGCCTCCTGTGTGCGAGAGCGCTTCTCCTTCAGCTGCATAGCACTTTCCACCGGGTTACGCCCCCCACGTTTCCGCAGGCCCTCCACCGTAATGGTGGGATCCATGCATGGCTTGGACACGGCTGCAGGGGGGCAGAGATAGAGACACATGCTTAACACGTTCAAACAAAGTTACAGTTACAGTTAATGTGGACTGTTAGCTATCGTGCTCTCATACACGAAATAGGATCCTGCAACAAGTGGCTAAACCAAGTAGGAAGCAGCATCTAGCATATAACTAACCCACTTGGGGCGGGGCTAAACTGCTGTTGGTTGAATAGGCAGAAGTACATATGGTTTTTGCAACATTAGAAAAATGATTAATTCAAATCAAGTAGCTTGGTTTCCATATATGGACTGAAACGTAACCAAAACACTACCGCTAACACGTGATCTCTCCTGCTTGCAGCATTCAAGTGTACTTCAGTAACTGAACCTTTGGCCTTGAGGGCGGCGGTGGAGGTCTTCTCCCCATCCGGTCTCAGGGTCGGTGGCCGGTTTTGGACCAGCTTCCACCAGCCAGGCTCACCAAACTCCTGTGCCCCCGAACGGAAAAACGTCGGGCTGCCCACAGACAGACACCCCGCCACCGTGCTCCACCATGTGGACGTCTTCTTCCTAAGCATGGACAAAAAACACACAACAGAAACCATGTACAGTTGACAGGGTGGTGCCAAAACTGATTTACTGAGAACTAATAAAGGTTTAAATCCCACCAAACACAGTGAGCGAGACCATTTCGCACCATACATCACCTTCAGGAATTTGCGCAAAACAGTAGTTGACTGAAACTTGGTTTAATTTGCATTTTCTTTTACAGACTCTAAAGTTTTGCTAAAGGCTGGGATGAAAACAACAGCTGTAGCTATGTTTATACACATTTGGTTGGTGTAATGCAACACCTCTGCCTTCTATGCTGTAGACTGGGGTTCGATGTTCCACCTAGTGTTTATTTCTGAGGATGTGTGCAACCTACACTTCAAACGAATGCAGGATGTTAGGGGCAGCCATCGTGCACGTGCATCATAAAAAGTGTAATGTCACCCAAACTGGTGGGATTCAAGCTTCCATTGCTTGTAAGCTACATTAACATCGTATCTCCAGTGCAAAACTAAAGACGCAAACTTTGGACACCAAATATGTCTTGAATGATTGACTACATTTGTGATAAAAAGGAACGACAGGGAAACTATCGCTTTAACACTAATTCCTCAGCTTGTTCTCAATCGGTGCGCGGCCCCTCGCTCACCTGGTGCCCAGTAGGAAGGTCCAGTGTCGACTAATGAAGGCGCAGATGTCTTCCTTCCACCGGAAGTAGCCCTGCCGGCCTGTGCCCTCCAGAGACAAGTTATACATGGCCAGCATCACCACCTGGAAACAGTGTTCAATACATGCACACATACAAATGAAGCATAAATAGACTCTTCAACCACAGATTAGTACTTGGGCTGCAACCATTAGTCTATTATGAGGGGAAAAAGGCACATACACGTGTAATATGCACACAAAACAATACAAGATATTGTTTGTTGTTTTCTTAAACCATAATATGCCTAAAACACTCTATATTAACTGACTAATTAAACCAATTTGTCCTAAAAATGAGACAAAATAGAATAAGGTATAATTGCACAAATACGAGTGGACAATTCTCTGGAGATTATAATGTACGCGACATACCCAAAGGCACGTCAGCACATACCTGCTGCCACGTGAGCCGCATCCTCTCGAAGCTCTCCTTGCCATCATCGGAGCATTCCAAGCAGATGAACTTGAAGAAGTTGTCTCCTTTCAGGTAGCTGGGCTGCTCTCCTCGGAGCTGGGCTGAACGAGCAGGAATGAAAAGAAAGCAAAAACAAAGACGGAGCTGAGACTAGATGCACTTTTCCTTTCAGGGACAGACTTTATTGAGACAGATAGTCAATAAAGATGTTAACATTTCAGCCAGTCATCACTGGTACAATCTTACAGTGCGTCATTTTCAGCTGAGAGTCTAAAGTTAAAAGCTTGCACTCTCTACAGTTTTGATAATAAAGCTGTACACAACCTCTAAAATCCATATTATATTACATATTAGTGTGTATTCGGTTAGCTCCCTCCCAGCCATCCAGCACTCTCTGGAACACTGTACACAACTTAAAAGATCCATATTATATTACACAGTGTGCATTTTTCAGCTCTCTCCTACTTAAAAGAGATGGTTCTTCAAGGGTTTTTTAGTAAAGAAAATGGTTCTATATAGGACCATGAACACTCAAAAGAACGCTTTGTATGGTGAAATGGCTCTTCACATTGATGGAGAGCGTGTTTTATATGGTTCTATATAGAACCTTTTTAAAAAGGGCTCTACAGAGCACAAAAAAGGGTTCTTCTATTGTTACAGGCTTGACATCATAACAACAGAAGAACACTTTTTGGTGCTATATAGAACCATATTAAAACACACTCTCCATTAATCTGAAGGTCCATTTAATGATGCAAAGAACGCTTTAATCATAAAAAAGGTTCTTTAAATGTTCATGGCTCTATATAGAACCCCTAAAGGATCACTATTAAAAATTAGTGTAGCATTCAGGCATTTGACCCCTTTCTATGTGTGTAGTGATGTGGAATGTAATTTTTGTGGACAATTCACATGAAACTTCTCTGTGAACTAATGAAATTAAAATTCAGATATGTATGCAACAGACTGCGATTACAGCCGGAGAGTATTGAGAAAACCTGTGTAATATCAGTGCACATAACCGCCCACTTGAATAACATTTTCTTTCCTATAAGTGTTCTATACAGTGCTCCTGATTTTTTAAATGTAAAAAATGAGGGACCATTTCTTTCACCTATAATGGTGCTCTGTATAGTGTTCCTGATTTTCTGTTCCCTTTAGCGTTCGTTAAAGCCTCATAACACAATGAACAGTGAATAGGGTAAGGATGGGCAAAATGACGTCATAACACTTTATTCTAAGTATATTTTGTATATAGACCCATTATGCCATTTTTCATAGCCTTTATAAAACGTTGTTCTACTGGTGAATCGGTGCATTTTGTCTGAATAAACCTATTAATCTCAATCAGAAAATCAAAGTATCGCGATAAATATCATGTATTGTCATGCTATCTTTTTGTCTTATCCCCTACTCTTTTCAAAGACCTCTGATAAAGCCTAAATGACAATAAACCAGAGTTCCTAATCCACACTAGGCAGCCGTGATCCATTGCCCTGCCGTCCCCTTTATGCACAGGCACCGTACAGGACCCTCACCAGAAGGAATCCACTTGTGGCATTTGTCGCAGTAGAAGGACATGTCTTCGTTCCAGCTGCCCTCTCCGTCCTCGCCCACGTCGCTGTTCAGAGAGTCGCCACTCTGGTCGTGAGAAAGGTCCACCGATGCTTGGTCTTCTGACTCCACAATCAAGAGAGTTTCCCCCTCCACTTCCCCCTCCTCCAAGCCTTCCGAGGCGGATGTGCACATGGCCTCCTCATCCTGCCCTGGCAGGCCCCTCTGGTCCCCGCTGTCCATGCCTCCTTCTGAAGGGAGAAAAAAAATTGACAGATTGGAGAAAAGGTCAATCTGTATGACATTTGGCAGACATCCTCTTTTCAGACACCACATCAACAATCAAATTTGATGGCCATTCTAAAAATTGACTGCCTGTCATCTGTTTTATAATGGCTTCATATTGGCATGATGTGCTTGGCCCCTAAAATTGCCACTTGCTACTGTAATGTAATTTACACTGTCACTGGATGATTTGTAGACGGCCTCACAGCAGTTGTTACAGGCCACAGAAATCAACAAACCCTCAAAATATCAAACAAAAAAAATGTAACTGAATGTTGTGATTGCCAAGAAAATCTTGTACTGCAGGGATCTCTCATTCTTGGAAGGTCATAATACTATGAGCTAACTTGTGACTAAATGTGTAATAGGTCATCTTTTTGCTGTCTTAAACACTATTCAAACTGGTTTTGTTTCACCAGATGAAATTTTGTGCCATAATATGATGTAAAATATCGATGATGAAAGTATCTGAAATGTCATCGCTGAGATGTTCAGTGTAGGCCTGAAACAATTATTCAACATTATTGTCAGTAATAAAAGTTGCCAAGAATTTAGTTTTTTCATTTACAATTTCAAAGTGACGTCAAACCTACAGTGAGTTACTGACTTGAGCTGAGGAGGCCAGCAATACAGAGTGTCATACGTATGTGAGCAGATAGTCAGAGTCAAACATATAAGGCTGAAACTTTAAAAAAAAAAAATAAATAAATAGATAAAAAAAAAGTTAAATCCATGAACATTTTCTTAAAACAAAATCTCCTCCAAAAATCTACCTCCAAAATTATAAAATTTACAGAAGAAAGACAAAGTGTTTTTTTTTTTATTTTAATGTAAGTTAATGTTAAGACGTTTAATTAAAAGCAGTATTTATCTTGGTCCATGCATTATGAAATTATTACACAATGTAAAGGGCAGTTGGGAAATGTACATACTTTTTTTTTTGGACAATGACGATATGCAAGTCTGACTTAGCTTTACAATACAAATCATTTTTAGATGCGAAACACCTCATAAACCTGGCTTCTTTCTTTCTATCACTCACTCACTCACTACAACGGTCCACAAGGGGGAGCTTTTGTCACTCTAGTAACTTCTGTGTGCGCCCAGAACAGCTGGATGTCCTACCTTTGCAGCACATATGTTTGCATTTACAAAGCATTCTTTACTTCATCAAACTATGCTGGTGCTTCACATCAATGACAATGTGTCTTTTTTAAAACAGTTTTCATGTACAACATCTTCTCGTCCTTAGTATCTACTCACACATAGCTTGTCTGGTGAACTAGCACATTAAAATGTTAAAGACTGGTTAAATGGTGCTGCAGCCTGAAGAACTAAATTTTAATCCATTTTAATCCTTTTACCCTGTTCTTCAGTGGTCAGGACCCCCATGGACCCTCACAGAGCAGGTACTATTTGGGTGGTGGATCATTCTCAGCACTGCAGTAACACTGATGTGGTGGTGGTGTGTTAGTGTGTGTTGTGCTGGTCTGAGTGGATCAGACACAGCGGTGCTGCTGGAGTTTTTAAACACCTCAGTGTCACTGCTGGACTGAGAATAGTCCACCAACCAAAAATATCCAGCCAACAGCGTCCTGTGAGCAGCATCCTGTGACCACTGATGAAGGACTAGAGGATGACCAACACAAACTGTGCAGCAGCAGATGAGCTGTCGTCTCTGACTTTATATCTACAAGGTGGACCAACAAGGTAACAGAGTGGACAGTGAGTGGACACAGTGTTTAAAAACTCCAGCAGCACTGCTGTGTCTGATCCACTCGTACCAGCACAACACACACTAACACACCACCACCACGTCAGTGTTACTGCAGTGCTGAGAATGATCCACCACCCAAATGCCTGATCGGTGTACCGTTGAATATTAGAGCAAGTGTGCAATGTGACAGAGACAGTGACTAAGCAGTTTGCTAGCGCTGCTGTCCACACAGTAGGAAGAGTCATTTCTCTACCTGCTCAGGTGGGCTCTTCAGGACCCTCTGGCCGCCTCGGCTTCCTGATGCGCTCGTTCGGCCACAAGCTCTCTGGTCAGCTGGATCTGCTCCTCGAGCACCCGCAGGTTCTCACGCTTCCGCTCTAAGCGCTCCACGTCTCGCAGAACTCCCTCGCGCAGCCTCTGTGATAATGTGTTTTTTAAATCAAATGACAAAGGTGGGACTATCAGGATTTCCATTCTGCAATGTACTTTTTACTAACACTACTTAAAATTAGGGATGTACAATAACATCAGAATCATACTGGTATCTGAGGTTATCTGCTCAGAAAAAATTAAGATCAAATGTTTAGATTTGACATAATTAAAACCAGTATTTGAAGACTTACTTACACCTTGCTGCATCTGTAACTATAGAAACTGATGTTAGACAATCCAAAGGAATCTAGCCTTAATTTCTACATTTAATAAATGTTTGTTTTTAAGCATTGGTCGTAGCATACAGTCTCCAGGGCCGGTAAAAGAGTACATCTGAATTTGGAAAAAAATCGATCACTTCTTAACTCCAACCATAATTTCTTAACTTGAATCACAGAAATTCAGGACAGAGGGGCAGGAAAAAATATAGGTTATACAATAGACTATATGTGTAAAAAAAAAAAACCAAAAAAAACGGTTATCAGCAAAATATGCAAGTATGTATTATGGACAGCAGTTAATAAGAAACCTAAAATAAATAAACAGACAAAAGGTAAAATAACCACGTTTTATATTATACAAATATATAAACAAGTACATAACATGCTTTCCATTATTCCTTTCCATAGATTAAAGAAAGCTGAAAACTTTGGAAAGATGGATAATTTTTGCTTTGTGAATTAAACTACAGGTCTAACGGAAAAAGATCAACTATAAATTTGACCAGACAGTGAAACTCAATTATTAGTACTAGTTCAACAGGCGGAGGGTGACTTAGGCTGCGTCCTAAATCGCACCCTACCACACTTAATTGTACACCACCGTAGTGCATTCATTAGTATAGCATGTGTTTTTGGACGTAGCCCTACACATACTGCTATTACGTTACTTGTTTACTGTTTATTTTTTATTTTTAATTAATTTATTGATATTCGCTCCAACAATACAAACACATCAATATCCGACTAACTCCTGTAGTTTATGTATCTACAGGCTCTAAAAGCCGAATTAGTCTCGTGTTTTCTGCTGCAGGTTCACGTTGAAATGTTCCGGTCCACCTTAAGTGATGCAGCACTTCCATTCTGTAGCCTGCTGGCTGAAACCATTGGCCTGAATGTACCTGCGGCGCTATTTAAGGTGGAACGGCACGTTCGAGCAAGTGGCTCTTCGGCTCTGTGTGGTTAGCAACCGGCTAACGGAGCTAAAGCTCATTTACCTGCCGGTCCCAGTTCTGCTTAAGGTGAACTCCCACTACCGTGCTGACTGTCAGGACCACCGACACTCCGAGAACAACTTTAGAAGCTGTAGACATATTTAAAGCACATCACGGTGCGGCAGAGCAGTTAGCGAACTAGCTTAGCCGCTTCAATAACAGGTCAAATTCGTCTTCTTTAGTCTTTAACGGCGCGGGTGACCTGAAGTCATGGCGCCTTACCGCCACCTACTGAGCTGGAGTGGGGGGTCAGCTAGAAACCGCCTCTGTTTCGGGGCTTCATAAGGTCAGCTCTGCACCTGATGACCCCGAGGTGTTTGCTGACCCCCTACCATCAACACTGACATTAAATAAATAAATAAATAAATGTTCACTTGAGATTTTTCTGCTATTATCATGACTGATGCGTAACATGACTATGACAATAAGACTGAATCACTAAAAGACTTCAGGGAAAAGAAAACATAATCAAAGCAGGTTTAACCTTTTAAGCTCCTGGTTCCAAACGCACTTTGTCATATTCTTCATCACCATGTTTCATAAGCCACATTCAAAAGGCGGGGGTCATATGAGAGCTGTAAGTGTCTTCTTTCCAGTCAAATAGATGGGTGATGTAATTTTAAACGCTTGTAATAAAACAAGCTGAATTTTATTATTTTTTTCTTCTACTGGAAGTCGATCCATTTTTCCACAAATCTGGGCTATAAACTACAAACAGATGGTGTCTCTTCAGTGATCTGCTCTGTAAAAATTATTTATTATAAAAAAAATACAAAGAGCGTCTAAGATTTTTGGCTTTCAGCAGTAAATTGTAAGCATATAGCAATATGTGTGATCATAAAACACATGTTCTGTTAATTTAAGGGGAGATTTACAAAAAAATAAATAAATTAAATAAAATGTACATTTATTTCATGCAGTTACTGAATAATTAGCCTTACGGGTTGGTCATATAAATTCAGATGGATAAACCAAAATATACCCGCGAGCATAGGGGAATCTGGCCACGTCCCGTGTCTCAATATGACTGCATAACGCCAGAGGGCGCCCATCAGTGCGTCCTCAGTGGATGTGGGTGAATGGAGCTAAACGGCTAAAAGCGACAATTTAAAACACTTTCTAACCTCTTGCCCAGGACGTATTCAATTTTACAAAGTAGAAGGATGTATTTCAATGAAAAACAAAGAAAACATACTTGTATATTTCTTTTTTTCTACAGCAAACGGGGTCGGGCCAGTAGGACACTAGCATTACTGCTACTGAGTGCTGATTGGCTGACAGGCGAAGCAGGTCATTGGCTGAGTGAAGTGGTTTGTGTTCACTGCCATCATGAACATGTGGTGTTATGAAGTCCTAAAACTGGTGTTCAATGCTTTTCTGTGTTCGGGAAATGAATTTATTCGTCCGTACAAAAAACATTTACAAACTACGACAACGCCTCCCTACAGATTGTTTGATATAGTCACTAGCTTGCAAGATATCAAGCTTTATTTATTATTATTATTTCAAGCATATAACCTTATATATACAAACAAGTATAACGATAGGATGCCTTACAGCCTCCACATCCCAGAATAAACAAAATAAAAAATAAAGAGGAAAGAAGAAAGTAAAACAAAAACAACACCATTGAGATTTAAATAGAACTGAAAAGCTTTAACACAGCAACGGATTTACAATGTTTCTGATTTTGCTGCTGGTGCCAGTTCACTAATGTAGAAATGTAATTACACGGATCTGTGCGTACAAACGTGATGTATTAAGGTACTGTTCTGGCAGATTTCACCTTATGTATATAAAATTTAGCTATTATTATGATCAGGGTTATTATAAAACATTCATTTGGGTCATATATATATATATATATATATATATATATATATATATATATATATATATATACATATATATATATATACACATATATATATATGTATATATATACACCTTATTTTGCCATTTCCTTTTACAAACATCTGCGCAAATATCCTGCCAGAATTGAAAATAAAATAATGCAAATCTACATTTGCAATTTTATTTTCACACAAACACGAGTCATTCTTGTATTTCTTGGCCAAAACTAAAATAGCGAAGCTAACAGAGAAAAGAAAATCCAAACTACTTCGGCTCTGAACGGCGGAGACGCTCCGAAGTGCTGAGGCTGGCACGACGCTCTCGAGCTCCGCAGTCAGAACCGCGAGCTCTCGAGAAAGCTCCGTCCAATCACAGGGGGCCTCGGCCAGAGTTCGACCAATGAGGCGAGACCGTTTAGAAACAAACCGTTAGAAGGGTTCGTCAGCAGCTCATGTGACCCGCTCTGGCCAATCGCACGGGGCCGGTTCCAGGTCACTGTGTGGAAAACGAACCGCGAACATTACATAGAACTGAACAGACACACATAGATTAACTGGTGGTTTGGATCGTAAATGAAATGTCTGTGTTTATGCTGTGGCTTTATTATCGCAGCGCCTGGTTTGTTTACAATGAACTGATTCACTTCAAAACACTCTGAATGACTGCATTTTAAAGGCTGACTTGTGCAGAATTTTTTAAAGAATCGGTTGAATTCTCCTTAAAACGAACTCGCTGCTCAAACTCTGTCCTGCTTTACACACACCTCCATCAAACTGTCCCTCGAGACAATTACAGAACCGAAGAGTCGACTCCAGGCATTTCGACTCTCAGAGTCATTGGCCGAGAGTCGACTCCAGCTCTCAGACGTGCTGGAGTCGAAGAATCGAGTCTTTGGGAATCGACTCCGCAAACAAGAGCGCGAGAAGTGCTTCACGTGCTGCTACGAAGAAAAGACGAGCTCTGTAGAAACAGTGAGATCCGCCTCACCTGTAGAGCGCAGGTGGAAGAGGAGCCCCAGAGAGCGGCGGGTCGGTGAGGAAACCTATAAAAACCCCTTTAAAGTGATTTGTAGCCCTGTGGATCATCAGTCCTCATATTTTCATTAGGAAAATGAACGTCTATGTCATATTTGTGCAGTACTGTCTCAATAATTCGAGATATTAAGTTGTTATTTTGAGGTGTCTCATTGATTCGAGATCTTAGGAGCTATTAGGATTAAAACCTGATGGTTTTGCTTTCTAATGGGAATTGGCTTAATACACTGTGAACTCAGCCCATCAGGAAAACACGGAATACCATTAGTGATTATTGGACGCCACCAGGAACCAGCAGAAACGGCTTCTATGATTCTTTTCAGCAGAGCATTTATATTTACTTATATTCTCATCTCAAAATAACACGAATGTTTCTCAAAATAATGAACAAAGCATCTGAAATGAATGTGATAATATCTCTAAATAATGACTTGATATCTAATAACAATGTCTTAGTACCTCACAATAACAGCATAGCTATTCACTCAATTATGAGACAAATATGAATTCGGTGGTAGAGTTTATTGAAGCAGCACAAATGGGCTTCCATAGCCGACTAACTTTGGGTTCATGTGAGGCAAAGAAAGGATGATAGGCTCACACTAACTTTAGCCAGCTAGCAGACAAAACAACTGGAAGGAGGTTAGAGCTGAAGAGTAAATGAGCGACACAGTGAAAATAACTTCACTGACAGCTTTTCATATTCTTCACTTTAATATTTCTCCTCAGTGTTTGGAAACATCAACACCAGCGCTTGCATTACAGGCCTGTTGTAACGAGGCTCAAAGTGCCTTTAAAGACCCTTTTACTGATGAAGACGCGATGACGACAGCAGATCATCACTCACGTCCACAGAGAAGCGCATGTAGATGTGCTGTAGATGAGCAGTAGATCGGTAAACAAATGAGCTGTAGACTATTATTTACCCGCTTTGTACAAATGTCGAAAATCAGATCTTGAAAAGTGGCTTCGCCCAAATAACGCGTTTCACTCGACTCCACTCCGTTTGGACCGAAACAGCTCCGGGGCTGGTTATGAAGCGGTACAGCAGAGACTAAACCGTCCTCAGCGGAGTTCACTCGTTTTTCCAGCAGCTACACTTTATAGAGAAACGATGAAACTCCGTAATCACACCGACTATAACCGACAGCAGCTGCGCGAGCGCCGGAGTGTAACGGCAGCACCGTTTAAGGTGGAACGGAAAACCTGAATCAGACTCGGGAGAGCAGGAAGCTCCGTCCTCCTTTAACCGTGCGTGGAAAACCGTCTATTTCTACTCGTTCACTGCGACCCTGATCGCGAAGAGAGCGGAGCTCTGGGTGCAGAGCGGTGGGTGCGAGCAGAGTCTGTGCGCAGCGCTGGGGGAGCACGAAGCCTGGCAGTTAAAAGGGGAACTCCACCAAGTGTTCAAAATTTCTGCATAATCAGAGCATCGCGGTGTAAACAAAGTCATTCAGAGCGGTTTGGAGGTGAAATGCTCTGTTCTAGAGAAACTGATAGGAACCAGACGTCCACCTGTAAAAGCTTCCTCACAGAAAGACTTTACATGAAATGTAAAGCCCGGCCTCGGGCGTTCAGGCTCCGGAATATTCTGATTGGGCTCGGACAGCGGAACGACTGCTGTCAGGCTGGGTTTGGAAACTGGAATCTCCGACGACAGCACAGCCGGTTCCTGCTTCTTCTCCAAATCCTTATGCCTGTCGAAACAAAAAAAGAAAACAAATAAATTAAAAATACTCAGAGTTCACCTAAGACAGTTTTCTAATGCACAGCATCTACAGTGTTAGATCAAGCCCCTTACCACACAGACAGAGTGCGTTGATTGATCTCAAAAAGCTGAAGCGCTGACGCCTGCATGAGCCCAGGACTGCTCAGGACCAGCATCCTGATCCTGCTGTAGTCCCGCAGGACGGCACCCCAGCGGTTCACCCTGACGCCGGCGATCTTCTGGCCATGAGGGTAAATAGCACAGAGCTCCAGGCAAATGGCCTTCATGAGGCGGCTTGCGTGCGGCCACTGCGCAGGCCCTGTGCCTTGACCCAGCAAACAGCTGCTCAGAAAAATACGAAGAAACAGACAAGTTATGATTTGACAATAAAGGACACACTCTGTAAAAATCCTCGTCAGCATGTATGGTGCCCTTACCGCTTCAAGCTTCCTGTCCCACTGGTCTTTGAGTGGCTGGCCTTAAACCGTCCCTCGAGGAGCCGCTCCCTGTGTCCCGGCAAGTAGGAGACTTGTCAGCCTCTGGCAGGGAGTTCCAAAGAGCGATGATGTCGCCAACGTGCCTCTCA